GCGCCACTTTTGCTTCACTGTAATGGTCAGAGATAAGGGCCGCGTAAAATGGAGACGGGATTGCGCCTGCAGATGAGCCGGTAACAAATACACGTTCTGGATCGGGTACATTGGCATAGGTCCAATCCAGCACAGCCTGGGCATTTGCGCGACCCTGATGGTGTACTGTCAAAGGCTCGCCGCCTTCTTCCAATGGCGGGTAAACCGTGTCTGAGGCGCCGATGTGTACATCCCCGGTGCAGTACGGGGCCATCACCACGCTGTAGTCTTTGAAGGGGTTGTCCGCATGTTCAAAGTTAAACGCACCAAAAGGCTCGGGGCGCCAGCCTTCACGAATGTTCACCGTATAGGTGGGTTGGCCCGCAGGATCGCAGGTCTGGCGTGTCCAGCAGGCGCCGCCGCCCTGGAAAAACACCATCAATTTGTCGGCGTCCCCGGGCCGCACAAAAAAGCGGTAAGGGGTGCCATCTGAACAGGTGGTTTCACCGCCAGGTGCAATTTCCGTCCAACCCGCTGCCAGTGTGCTGATGCCTGGCTCGGCAACTGCTTCCGACTGCGCCTCTGCGGGTGCTGGGGGCGCTGCGGCCTGCTCCTGACCACATCCCCATACGCTCAAGGCAATGACCAGCATCACCAGTTTATTTATAAACGACATCCGCTCTCTCCCACTTTCGCTTAAACTCTGTCTTTGCAGGATTCTACATGGCATGAGGAGAAATGGGTGACAACGCGTGATGACCTTCGCAGTGTGCTGACCGCCTGGGAAAGTGGCGAAAAAGATGAGCTGACGGTGTGGCAATGGGCGGAAGCTGCCCAGAATGAGCAACCAGAGGACAAACTGGTGCAGGATCTGGTTGACGTCCTGGCCGGGCTGCCGTTTGACATGATCCTCAAAGAAGACATCCCGGTGATGCAGGACGCGCTGGCCAATCCACCGGCGGAGACGGATCTGTCAATCAACCTCTTATGGAATCACCTTGATGGCATATATGCGGATCAACGTCGACATGACCTGAGTGAACATCCTTTCTACGGCCAGTTCTGCGACGGTATGGGTTAAACCATGGTAGGCCAACTTCAGCAGCTGATTGATCTGCTCAAACTTGAACAGGTGGAAGAAAATCTGTTCCGCGCCTTTCATCCGGAAGATCGACAACGCCGTCTTTATGGTGGGCAGATCATGGCTCAGGCGCTGATGGCTGCTGCACAAACGGTAGAGACAGAGCGTGCGGTGCATTCTTTGCATGGCTATTTTCTGCGTCCAGGTGATCCGAAGGTGCCGGCGGTTATCAAAGTTGAACGGCTGCGCGATGGGCGTTCTTTTTCGACGCGGCGCATCCTTGTGGTGCAGCACGGCGAAGCAATTTTCAGTATGGATGCTTCTTTTCAGGTGGGAGAAGAGGGTTTAACTCATCAGGGGCCCATGCCGGATCTGCAGCCTCCGGAAGCGCAGAAGATTCCTGCTTATCTGTATGACAGCGCATTTATAACCTGGCGCAATGAATTTCGTCGTCTGCAGTCTTCAACACCGCAGCCGCCGGAACAGTTTGTCTGGTTTAAAAGTAATGGCAAAGTGCCGGCGGATCCGATTCTGCACGCCTGTTTGCTGGTGTATGAATCGGACAACACGCTGCTGGGTACGTCTCGGCTACCTCACCGCGGGGAATATGAACCGGACCGCATGCAGGTGGCCAGCCTGGACCATGCGATGTGGTTCCATCAACCCGTGGATGTGAATCAGTGGTTGTTGTATGCCCAGGACTCACCCAGCGCCTCGGCTGGCCGGGGTCTCACACGCGGGAATATATTCAGCGAAGATGGCCAACTTGTGGCATCAACCGTTCAGGAAGGTTTGATCAGACTGCGGTAAGGCGTGCCCATGTTTGAACGGCAATTAGAAAAACTAGCCCAGCACTTTGTACAGAACAACTGGCGTTTGATTACTGCGGAGTCCTGTACGGGTGGTCTGCTTGCTGCCAGCATCACCAGCCTTGCTGGTAGCAGCGAATGGTTTGAAGGCGCCTTTGTCACTTACCGGTTAACCGCAAAAGAACGTTTGCTGGGGGTACAGTTGGAAACTTTACAGCACCATGGCGCGGTCAGTGAACCTGTCGCCCGGGAAATGGCAATGGGAGCGCTGGCGAGAAGTGATGCTGATGTCTGTGTGGCGGTCACCGGGCTGGCAGGCCCCAGTGGCGGTGAGCCGTTGCAGCCAGTGGGTACGGTCTGGTTTGCATGGTGTGATGCCGATGGGCTTATTCAGTCCGAAGCGCATGTTTTCAAAGGCACTCGGCAACAGATTCGCGAAGCGGCGGTGGCAACAGCCCTGGATGGGCTGCTGCGGTTATTTGACGAATAAGTCCCGTTATAGCGTGTCGACGAGGTTGCGCAGCAACTCACACTGTGCAACCCGCTCTGCGCTGTCTTTGCCCGCCAGGCTGATGTTTAACGCAGTCACCCCCGACTCGCGTAGCGCGTAAAGTCGTTCTTTAACAAAGCCCGGATCACCTATCAGTGAGCTTTTGGCCAGATAGTCGTCTGGAATTGCGTCTTCGGCAGCTTTTTTCTCCCCCGCCAGATATAGATCCTGGATGAGTTTTGCTTCCGCCGGGTAACCACTTTTAGAGAAAATATCGTTGTAGAAATTTTTCGATCGCGCACCCATGCCACCGATGTACAGGGCAGCGCCCGGCCTGGCTCGATCGCGCAGGTGTTCCATGCCGTCGCCAATCGCTACCGTGCCGCCAGCGTAAATCTCCAGAGGTTTGCGCTGCGGGTCGCGTTTGGCTGCGCCGCTTGCCAGGGCGTCACCCCAGACGTCCGCTGCCGCTTCGGCGGTATAAAAAGCGGGTAGCCAGGCATCAGCCAGTTCCGCGGTCATGGCAACACTGGCCGGCCCCAGGGACGCTATGGCAATCGGGATTTCGTCACGTACCGGATGGTTGATGAGTTTCAGCGGCTTACCCAAGCCGGTGCCTCGGTCCTGTGGTAGTGGAATCTGATAATGCTTGCCCATGTACTGGACTTTTTCGCGTCGCCACACCATCCGGCAGATTTCGATAATTTCACGCAGGCGCGCCACCGGCGCCTGATACGGGACGCCATGGAAACCCTCAATCACCTGCGGACCTGATGCACCCAGGCCCAGCATGCAGCGACCGTCGGACAGATAATCGACACCTGCCGCCGTCATCGCCAGAAGTGATGGGGTGCGGCTGTAGACCGGCAGAATGCCCGAGGCAATGGTGACGGTTTTGGTTTTTGCTGCGACGTAGCCCATCGCGCTGGGGGCATCAAAAGAATATGCCTCGGGCACCCAGACGACATCAAGGCCGGCCTGTTCCAATTCCTGCACTTCGGTCACGGCCTCTTTAAAGCCGCCGGCGTAACTGAGTAATGTTGATATCCGCATGGTTTCCCCTCTTGCGTTACTTTGGTTCCTATTGCGTGATTATGATCAGTTAGGCAAGGTCAGCAAACCGTTTGTTGGGAAGGTTGTTATGAAGCGTATTGGTAGGCCACTGATAGCAGGGTTTAAATTTGCCGCGGCGCTTGCGGCATTACTGATGAGCACCTTTGCAGGGGCACAGCCAGATCTGGAAAGTTACGCCCGCCAGGGTGTGCAGCGGTTATCAAGCTATCTGCAGATAGACACAGTTAACCCGCCCGGTAACGAAAGCCGTGGCGTTGAATTTCTACAGAATATCTTCACCCAGGCCGGGGTGGCATTTGAGAGTGTTGAATCTGCCCCAGGCCGAGGCAACATCTGGGCGAAACTGCCTGCGACAACTTCTCCAAAACAACCCGGTCTGATTCTGCTGCATCACATAGATGTGGTACCCGCGAACCGCGACTACTGGAGCTTTGACCCGCTATCCGGCGAGGTGAGAGACGGTTTTGTCTACGGCCGCGGTGCGATTGATACCAAAGGCCTGGGTATTGCTCAGTTGCAGGCTTTTCTGGCGCTGGCGGAATCTGACTTACCGCGCAATCGTGATCTCTGGCTGATGGCGACCGCTGATGAAGAAGCGGGCGGTTTTTTTGGCGTGGGATGGCTGGTAGAACATCGGCCCGAGCTGTTTGCTGATGTGGGTTACGTTTTGAATGAAGGTGGCTCGGGACGGGTGTTTGGCAACGAAACAGCGGTTATGGTCGAGGTCACGCAGAAGGTCCCGCTGTGGTTGAAGCTTACCTCCAGGGGCCGCCCCGGGCACGGTTCAGCACCGCTGGTTGAAACCTCTGTGACCCGCATGGTGCGAGCGTTGAAGCGGATCAGCGAAACAGAGTTCCCGGTTCGTGTGATGCAGCCGGTTGCAGACATGTTTGAAGGCATTGCACCCTATCAGAGTGACGTGGATCGTCAGGCTTTTGCCACAATTGGACAGGGCAACCTCAGCGATGAGTATTTGCTTGCCTTAAAAATGCGCAGCCCTGGATATCACGCGCTGCTGCGCAATACCTGCTCTATTACGCGGTTAGAAGGCAGCGCAAAAATTAATGTTATTCCTGCAGAAGTGCATGCTGAACTCGATTGCCGCCTGCTGCCGGATCAGGACCCGCAAGCGTTTCTGCAGGAACTGAATCTGATTATCAATGACCCACATGTATCGATAGAGAAAATTATGGGTTTCACCCCTGCGGTAAGTAAGACGCAAACGCCGCTGTTCAAAGCCATTGCAGCGGTTTCTGCGGACGCGTTTGACGCCCAGGTAGTGCCAACGGTTGCGGGTGGGTTCACCGACAGCCACTTTTTCCGCGACCTGGGCATCACCAGTTATGGCTATTCACCGTTTGCTTTCACCACTGCAGAGTTTTCCGGTGTACATGGCAACGATGAGCGTGTGTCTGTGATTAATATCGAACGCGGCATCAAAGTTTATTATCAGCTGCTGGCAAATTTTGTCGGTGGGCAATAACCTCTTAAAAAAACAGGAGAGAACATCATTAACACCTTAAATACCGTTGACCACGAACTCGACTTTTCGCCGTTACATGAGCGCATGTCGAGTTATGTCGAACAGGACATTCTGTCCTGCTGCAGCACGATCATCATGCGCGGCACCGATATCCTCGATTATAAGACTTTCGGGTATATGGACAAAGACAGTGGTGCGCCCCTGACCGAAGATGCGATCTATCGGATGTATTCCAATACCAAGATTGTTACTTCGGTTGCTTTGATGATGCTGTTGGAAGAGGGCAAATTTGCCCTGGACGACGAATTGTCCCGTTACATGCCGGAGTTTGCGGACCCTAAGGTGTTGCGCCCGGATGCAAAATCCGCCGATGACGTAGAAGCGGCCAGCCAGCCGATTTTAATCAAACACATCCTCAGCCATAGCGCGGGATTAAGCTACGGGTTTATTGAACCGGAATCCATTGTTGATCAGGCGTACGCCGGAAAGTTGAATGTGCTGGGCGACTTCAGTGTCGACCTGGAAGAATTCTGCAGCCGCGCAGCGTCATTGCCGTTAGCTTATCAACCCGGCACCAGCTGGCGTTATTCAGTGGCAACGGACGTATGTGCGCGTCTGATTGAAGTGCTCAGTGGCCAGCGCTTTGATGAGTTTCTCAAGAGCCGAATATTCAACCCGTTAGGTATGAGTGATACAGACTTCTGGGTGCCACCAGAAAAAGCAGATCGCTTTATTACCATGTATGCCCCAACAGATCTGTTGGATCCCATGAAGCCCGGCATGGTAAAGGTTGATGACCCGGTTTCAGGTTCATACAACAGTCCGCGTAAACTGCTCAGCGGTGGTGGCGGCCTGGTGTCTACCATGGGCGATTACATGACGTTTATTCGTGCCATTGTGAACAATGGCAGCTGGCAGGGTGTGCAACTGTTGCAGCCGCAGACGCTGAAACTGATGCGCACCAATCAGCTGGCTCCTGGTGTTGGTGTTTCGTTCCCGATGTGGGATATGCCGGGTACCACATTTGGTCTTGGTTTTGCGCTGCATGAAACCCTGCAACCGGGTGAACCCGCAGGCGCAAAAAATGAATACCACTGGGGCGGTATGGCAGGCACGCATTCGTGGATGGCGCCGGAGGCGGGCATTACCGGTATGTGCTCAACACAGCGAATGCCTGGCTTCTGGCATCCTTTCAGCCATGAATTCAAGAGCCTGGCCTACCAGATCGCCGGCTGAAGCAGGCAGCTATGGGCAACAAAGTGTTTGAAGTTGTTGGCCTCGATCATGTCGTGCTGCGCGCCAGACACGCCGAGCAGCTGGTAGATTTTTACTGCCGGCTATTTGGCGTGTCGGTTGAACGAACGGTGGGGGATTTTCTCTGGCAGCTACGTATTGGTCACAGTCTGTTGGATATCATCAGCGCGCCGGATTCGGTGGGGGCCAATATGGACCACTTTTGTGTGCGTATTACGCCCTACGATGAAAAAGCGATTCTGGCGGCGCTGGAGGAAATGGATGTAGAGGGTGAGGTTGCCGGGCGTATTTATGGTGCTCAGGGATTTGGACCATCGGTTTATTTTATAGACCCAGAAGGCAACAAGGTTGAACTCAAGGCACACAAGCTTGAGTCAGACGATAGCTAGCGCTGCTTCACGAGTGAGAAGGCGCGATCCGCCATGGATAACAAAGTGGTAAAAGCGAGCAGCCAGGCGAAGTATGCGGCTGTGGTAAGCAACCACCCCCAGTTGAGTACCTGTGCGCCGATGACAACGCCCACCAGCACATAGTAAGCGATGCCATTGTTGCGGCCAATGAAACTCATGCGTAGCGCAACGCCGGCGAGGGCCTTCGAGTCAAGCATATACTGGATAAACGCCAGGCCAATAAGCCATGGCAGATAAGGGTTGATAAGACCAAGCATGCTCAAACAGCCACAGCAGATGCTGACAAACAAAGCGTCAGTGCCGTGATCAAACAATCCACCTAAGGGGCTGGTCTGTGCCAGTTTGCGGGCGATTTTGCCGTCGTACACATCAGTGATGACCGCCAACGCAAACAGCATAGCTGCAGGCAGCCAGAGTTTGTTGACCAGCGTGTAGGCGATTACAGGAAGGCTGACTAAGCGTAAGCCGGTTAACAAATTCGCCCACGTTAGCCATCGAAACATGAGTTGTCAGCGAGGGCTTAAGCGAAACAGAACACCATCTTCTTCGTCAGCAAAATCTTCCTGCTCCATTTCATATTTTTTTACGTATTGGGCAGCGACGCTGAAAATTTCTTCTTCGACGATAACCTGGGATGCTTTTGCCCGAATGAGCTTGCCGTCAACACTCAGAATGACGTCTGGATTTTCCATTATATTGCGCGCCCAGCGAGACTCACCATCACCTGCTGCGATGTACGGCACGCCATCAGCGACGACGATCCAGATCGTCACTGAATAAGGGTCAATGGGGTTGGTTTCCAGTAATACGTTTTCGATATCATTGGTGTAGGTCCAGTCGCCGGGCCAGTCAATGGGTGCACCTTCAAGCTCTCCTCCAGCAATTGGTCCCATCGGTCCAGAACATCCGCTGAAAATAAACAGGCTAAAAAGCGCGATAACCGCGTTGCGTATCACTTCGCCCCCAAGATATTGTTATTAGGTCGCTTATGCTACTGCATGAGCGTCGAAAAGAAATCAAATCGATGTAATCTTCTTTATTGGAATGTATATGGAATCAGCGCAGAAGCGGCAAACCTGGCTTATTACGGGTGCAAACGGCAACCTGGGCAAGCGTTTGATCAGTGAAATACTGAACGATGATGAAAATGCGGTTGTTGCCGTGGTTCGCAGTGCCCGTGCTCAGCATGAAATCGAATCTCTGGCGCTGAGTGCCGAGCAGATCTCCCGGCTCGAAGTAAAAGTGCTTAACTACGATGATGTGGCAGCGTTAACTGAAGTTGCTCAAGGCTGCGATAAAGCAGTACATCTGGTGGGGATTCTCAAAGAAACCAAGATGGCCAAGTATTTTGATGCCCATGAAGCCAGCACCAGCGCGCTTCTGCAGGCTCTGGCTCACTCAACGGTCAAGCATCTCACTTACCTGTCGATTGTCGGCTCAACGCCGCACTCGAGTAATGCATGCCTCGCCTCTAAAGGTCGAGCTGAACAGCTTTGTCTCAACCACGACCTTGCGGCCTGTGTCTTGCGGGTGCCGATGGTGTTGGGTGAAGGCGACTACGCAAGTTTTGCATTGCGTAAGCGGGCCCAGGCCGGACGCAGCATTACCTTCCGAGCGGACAGCATCGAACAGCCTATATACGCCGGAGATGTGGTGCAGGCAGTTATTGCGGCGGGTACAAAAGAAATCAATGGAGATCTGAATCTGGCTGGGCCGGAAGCGCTGAGTCGACGTGCGTTAACCGAGCGCGCAGCAGCCATTGTAGGTGGCGGTGGAAAAGTGATTTCATTGCCGTTGGGCATAGGTCTGGGTATGGCCGGGTTGTTTGAGACGTTTATGGCCAACCCGCCGGTGACAAAGGCGATGCTCGAAGTTCTGGATCACGATGATCAGGTTGATCCCGAAGCCGCCTGCCAGGCGCTCGGGTTGAGCCACCTGACCCCGTTGGATGACATGTTAAAGGCGGTGTTGAGTTAGGCGATACGCTTGGCCAGGTAAGGCAGGCTGACATCCATGCGGTAATCGACGCCGCTGTGGTTATCGTTGAACTCTTCGTATCTGTGGGTAATGCGGTACTTGTGCAGCTGGTCAGATAGCAGGCGGGCGCCAAAGTGGATGTGGTACTGGTCTCGCCAGCCACAGTCGATGTAGATGCCGCGAAGGGTTTTAAGATTGTCTTTGTACTGCGCAACCATGTGTATTGGGTCGTGTTTCAGCCATTTTTCCCAGCGCCTGGGTAGTAATTCACCCGTGTTCATATCAAATGGCAGGCGAAAGCCGCCTGTAACTTTTGGATCTGGATCATAGGTGGCGGCCATACAGACCATCATCAGCGTAGTAATGTCGCCACCACTTGGCTTTTCATTGGACCAGCAATGTTCCAAGAAGCGTTGTATTCGACCATCGTCGATGCCGGGTTTGCTTTGGCGCACGATGCGCTTGCGAGCACCTTCTTTCATGGCCGGTTCAACAAAGCGTTGCAGGCTGGTCAATGCCTGAGGCCATTCGGCTTTATACACGAAGTCAAAATAAGCATCTCCCGAGTGATTGCCTACCGCCCCCCAGTATTTGGCATACTTCATCCCATGCACAATCGCGCCATAACCGCCTGAAGATTTACCAAAGCAGGCACGATGCTCACGGCTGTCCAGGGTGCGCAGATTCTGGTCTACAAACGGAATCAGCTCTCTGGTCAGATAGTCAGCGTAGCGCCCAATGGCACTTGAGTTGATGTACTGATTGCCGCCCAGGGCAGTGAAGCAGTCCGGAAAAACAACAATACAGGGGGGCATCTTCTTTTCGCTGATAAGGCGATCAAGTCGCTCAGGCACATTCTCGTCAAAACTGCGCCAGCCAACGTGTGAAGGACCTGAACCGGTGTAGCCCACCAGGTCAAAAAGCACTGGATAACGCCGGTTTTTATAGCGTGGTTCGTCGTAGGCCGCAGGTATGTAGATGGGTAATACCCGCGTTGACGGATCATTGAGAGGGTTGTCAGCGAGAATGCGGGAGCTGTGCTGTTCGAAAACTAAGCGGCCACCTTGCGCGACGGGGTTTTTTCTTGCCATGTTTACCTGGTCCTGATCTGAAGTGCGCAGCATACCGTATTCCGCTTAAGGTCACGCTTTGTTAGGGTTCTGCCCAGCGCAGCGTGATACAAGTCGCAAAAGCTCAACCGCCGGATTCAAGAAAGCATCCTAATCGGGTAGCTTGGCGCTTCGCCGTGACAGTTGTGAATGGACACACACTTATGCAAATCGACGGGCCCGCTAACATACCTGCCGAAGAAGATGGCTCGACCATAGATTTGGATGCTTTACGCGCCGAAGTGAGCAAATGGCAGGAACGCGTGCCGAAACTTGCCAAGGCCTTGCGCGAACGCACTGAAGAGCTGGCTGCAGCCCGCGAAGAGCTGCGCACCGCACAGACCAGCCCTGCTCCCGAAAACGCCCTCACCGAAGACACTGATGCCCGTCTGCAGGCACGCAACGCGCTGATTGCAGAACTACAGGAAAAGGTAACTCAGCTCGGCGAAAAACATCGTCAATTGTCCGGTACTCTGCACACTACCAACCTGGACCTTGAAAGCGCCAGGGAAGATGCGCAGAACTGGCACACCAAGTGGCAGGAAGTGACCGCGTCATTAGACGATTCAGTGGTTGTGGCAAGCCGCAGCAGCAGTGAGTTAGAGCAAGCGCGCCTGGCCTGGAGCCAGGAGAAGGAAGCGCTTGCAGAAGCTCATGCTCAAGCAATGCAGCAGCTGCAACGCGAAACAGACTCATTGCGTGTACGTAATGCCAATCTGGGTGAAACGGTAGAGTTCGCCAACAAACAGATAGAGTCTCTCGGCGAAGATATGCAGCTCTTGATGGATCGCGGCAAGAGTGCCGAAGTTACCATCGCGCAAAGCCAGGAAACCCAGTCGCAATTGCAGAATCAGATTGAAGAACTCAATCAGCAGAATATAACGCTGCAGACCCAGCTGAAGGATCGGCAGGGTTTACTGGTAGATGCCCAACAAGCATTGCAGCAACGTGATGAAGAGGCCCTGCAGGCAGCACAGATTGTGCAAGCGCAGCTGGAAGAGGCCCAGGCGTCGCTTGCTGAAACAGAGGCGCACTATCGTTCAGCTATGCAGGCTGCAAACGAGGAACAAACTCAGCTCGTCAACCAGCTCGATAAAAAAGACGCGCAGATAAACAGTTTAAATAGGCAGTTGGACGAAGGTATTGCGCTTGCACAGAAGCAGCGTAAAGAGCATCAAGAGCTGGAGGCGAACCTGCAGGCGTTGCAGCACCAACTGGAACAGGCAAACAACGAGTTTGAGGGCCAGCTGGCTGCGAAAGAAACAGCCTTGAGCGAATTGCAAACAGCCCTGAGCGAGACACAAACAGCCCTGAGCGAGACACAAACAGCCCTGAGCGAAACGCAAACAGCCTTGAGCGAAACGCAAACAGCCTTGAGCGAATCCCGGGCAGCTCAGGATGCCAGCGATAAAGCGCATGAAGCGCAGCTGGAGCAGAGTAAGAGTGATGCAGTCGAGCTCGCCAGATTGCGTGAAGATCAGGCGCGCTGGGTTGCCATTGAGCAGGACCTGCTTGAACAGGTTAACGCTGTCGCCGAGGCAGGTGACAGCAAACAGAAAGAGTTAGATGCTGAGATAGAACGTTTGTCTGAGTGCGTAAGTCAGGCGCAGGACAGTCATGCCGAAAGAGAAGCGGAACGGCGTCAGCTGACCCACCGTTTAGAAGAGCTCGCAGACGAGAACGATAAGTTAAAAAGCAGTCTTGAAGAACGCTCAGCTTTGGTGCGAGAACTGGAAAATGAGCGTGAAGCGCAACGTCAGAATCAGCAAAGCAGTGCTTCGACAATGGCTGCGGAAGAGCAGCGTCGTACCGAGCTTGAGCATAAAGTCGCAACGTTCCAGGAGCATGCGCAGAATCTTGAAGCCAAGCTGTTGACTCAACAGGGTTTGATGAGCGAACTGGAAAGCGAGCTGAGTGAAGCCCGAAGCGAAAACAGTCAGTCTCTGAAGGCGGCAGAAAACAAGTATCGTCAGGAAAAAGATGAGCGCGCAGCGCTCGCTGAAAAACTCACTGCCTTACAACATCGCATCGATGACCTTGAACGTCTCAATCAGGATCTGGTCGCGGCTGAGGGTTCGCATAATAAGGCTATCCGTGAAACCGAAGAAGAGCTGAACAGAGAGCGCGCCGCGCGACAGGATCAGCAGAATGCAGTTTCTAACCTGCAGGCAGAACTTGAACAGCTGCAGGGTGCTGCATTAACCAGGCCCTCGAAAGAGCAGGAGAAACCCGGCAAAACCGCGACGCAGCAGACAAAAGAACTTGAGCAGCTGTTGCGGGAAAGAACTGAAGAATTAGACAAGCTTCGCTGGAAACTTGAACAACCGGTAGAAAACGATGGCAAGCTGGTGATGATTCTGAATCAGCAACTCGATGATGCCCGGCAGGAAAACACGCGCCTCAGAGAAAAGGCAGCAGCGGCAAATGCAGGTGAAGAACTGACGCGCATCAAAGGCATCGGCGAAAAACTGGCCCATCAGCTACAGGAGTTTGGTGTGACAACTGTGGCCCAGGTTGCTGCAATCAACGTTACCGCCCTGGAAAACGAAAACCATCCGCTGCACGCGCTACAAAGTCGAATTGTCCGTGATGAGTGGATTGAACAGGCAAAAGATCTGCTGAAGTAAGGCAGGTGTGTCAGCGACCAGCAAGATGCGCCAGCACCTGCTCCCAGTACTGGAAGAAAATTGAGCTACCGTGATCAGCAAAGATCCGCAGATCAAAATCCAGGCCCTCGAGTTCGTCCAGTAGATTTTTCAACGGGCTCAAATTATCCCCTTCGCCATGCCACACCGAAACACAAGCGCTGATTGCTTTGAGGTCCACTGCGGTGGGGTTGGTCAGACATCTGATCTCTCCCGCAATACCGCTGCCCGATACTACAAGACTTTCTAACGACGCTTTGACCATGTGCTCAACAACGTTTGGGTTTGCGGCAAAAAATGTTTTGTCAGCATCAACGGAAGAATAGAAGCGCAGTAGCAATGCGCGGTTAGTGCGTTCATTCGCGCGGCTACGCAGAATGCTGAAAAAAGTAGACAGCAGCCAGGGTTGCTTGGATAGATGTTGGCGCAAGGCCGTGATGGAGCTGCCGTCGGTGTGGTTGTACCCAGCTGGACCGCGTCCGGATACAAGCATCAGATGTTTAACCCGGTGCTTCAGCCTGGCCGCAGAGGCGAGCGCATGGGCCGCTCCGGCGAGGAAGCCGAGCAGCGAGACTTCGGTAATCCCCAGAGAATTTATTAAGTCCTCAACGTCGGCGGAGATGGTGTCGAAAGAGAATTGATCCGCTGCGTCAGAAAAACCGGTGCCTGGTCGCTCGAAGGCAATGAGCGTGAGATCTAGTTGGGTTGCCAGCGCATCGGTACCCGGAGGGAGCCTTGAACAGCCGGCAGCTTCATGGAAATAGATAATGGTTTGGGCACCGTTGCCATAACGTCGGTATGCAAGTCTCCGGTGCGTATTGCTCCGGGAAATAATCATAAACTGATGTTGGGGATATTGTGCCGTTGAGGCCAGCTCGGGGGGTGATTCCGGCGGTGCCGCAATAACAGATAGAATGACCTGCAGTTGGGTCATCATCAAAATCAGATCGCCCTGACGGTTTATTTTTGTTTTATCGAAAACAGCCTGTAGTTGATTACGGACAGTGTTGGGGCTGATGTTCAGGGTTTGAGCAATTTGTTTCAGCTGCAGGCCACTATTCAGTTGTTGGCAGACCTCACTTTCTGCTGGTGTCAGTCCGAAACTTGTCTGCAGAACACGGCCTGCTTGCATGCTGGTTGCGCTAGGTGCTATCAGGAAACCGGCGTGCACATTTTTGTTCTGCAGATTAAAGGCGGCAGGCAGGTCATCTGACGCAACCATGTAACCATAGCGGGACGTGATGCCAGTGCTATGCAGGCTGACAAGCGCGTGACGCTTTTTCCCTGTTGTAACGGCAGTAAGGGCTTGCTCAAATTCTGTTGCTGAGGTCATGTCAAAAAACGAAAGCCTGTCTTTTTCAACCGAGCAATATTTGTTAAGCGAGTTACTTTTTCCGCTGGCCTGTACCAGGCGACCTTGTTCATCTAACAGGAAGTAGTGGCAGCCAACATAGTTGTTTTGTTGGTCTGTCTGGCCGCGTAGTTGCCAGGCCAGTGTCTCTGCCTGACTCAGCGTCGTTAGCAACGCAGTAGGGTCCAGCGCCTCAATTTTCTGGCCGTCGCGGTTCAGCGCCTGAGCAAAAGCCTCCCATGCAGTAGGATCCAGGGCATAGCCGATCAACGCATCTATAAAACCTGCTGGCAATGAAGTAGTCGAGTCAGTTTTTAACAACGCCTGTTGAGTCCATTGGTGTAGCGGAGATCACCCGGGCTGATCAATTTACCCGGCAACCTGATTTTTCACCAGGTTTGGGCCTATAAATCAAGGTTTCACATTACCAGATACCCTGGCTATGATGGAGGCCCTGCAAAAAACCTACAGGCGTCATGGATAACCAATTCACGCCCGATAAGTTGTTCCCTTCTGCGCACAATGACGAGCCGGATGAGGACAAGCGTCGCAGCGAATCGGATCGCAGAGCTGAAGATCGTCGCCGTAGCGCGCGGGGTTTGTTCGAATTACGTGCCCGGCGTGATCGGGTTGTAGAGGATCGCCGCCGTACCGATCGGCGTGATGAGCCCCGCTGGCGGCTGGCTTTCTGGCGTCGTCACGAAACCTGATTGACTCAGTTGCTACTCAATGTACTGCAGCTGAGCAGGCGTTTGATTTGCAATAGCCACGTAAAAACCCCCCTTTAACGGCGCCATCTGCGTCAATATCGGCTAAAATTCCGGATTATTTTCTATCAAGGAACGAGCATGATGCGTTGGGTGTTGCAACTGGTTGTATTGGGTGCAGGCATAATGGGGAGCTTTTCATCAGCTGTTGCGGGTGATGCTGAAGCCGGCAAAAGTCTCTATCCGGTGTGTACTGCTTGTCATGGTCCGGCAGGATTAGGTAACCAGGCGATGAATGCGCCCAAGCTTGCCGGTCAGGAAGCCTGGTACATCGTAAAGCAGATGCAACTGTTTCAGAACGGCGCTCGTGGCACGGCACCAGGCGATATGCACGGTATGCAGATGGCGATGATGTCAAAAGGCCCACAACTTGCTGGTGAGGAAGCTTTACAGAATCTGGCAGCCTACATTGGTACTTTCCCCGTGGTAGATGTGCCCACCACCGTCAGCGGTGATGCCGCTGCGGGCAAGACGTTGTACACCGTTTGTGCAGCCTGTCATGGTCCAGCGGGCCAAGGTGTTGAAGCAATGGCTGGGCCAAAACTTGCCGGTCAGAGTGACTGGTATCTGGTGAATCAGCTGAAAAAATTCAAGCAGGGGCAGCGCGGCTACCACGACATGGACCACGGTGGTCGGCAAATGCGGCCGATGGTAGGAACGCTGGTAGATGACAAAGCGATTAACGACGTTGTCGCTTATATCAACACGCTGAAGTAAACCTGACGTATGTTTCCAGTGGCATCATGACCAGCCGGTTGTCGATATCCCTCGGCAACTTGGCAGCCAACTACCAGCTGCTGTGTAAACACAATCAAGGACCGGTAGCTGCAGTTGTCAAAGCGGATGGCTATGGTCTTGGTGCTGTTGCAATAGCGCAGCGTTTGTTGCGCGAACGCTGCGACAGTTTTTTTGTTGCGACGCCTCAGGAAGGTGCAAATCTGCGTTCTGGACTTGGTCCAGCCGACGCGCAGCAGGTAAAAATATATGTGCTGTCCGGTGTTTACCCTGAAGTGCTGCCGCTGTTCACCAGCCACAATTTGACGCCTGTATTAAACACCGCGGAACAGATCCAGACCTGGAGCGCTGTGAAACGCCCCGCTGCGCTGCATTTTGACAGCGGTATGCATCGTCTCGGTTTACCCCTGCAGCCCGAAAGCTTTATTGGCCTGCCGTTTGATGTTGAGCTGTTTGTCAGCCACTTTGCCAATGCGGATGAGCGTGGTCATCCGTCTATAAATGATCAACTGCAAAGTGCGCTGGTGTGTTTTTCGGCATTGCGGACACATTACCCGAAGGTGCAATTCAGCCTGTCGAATTCCGCAGGTGTGCTGAACGATCTCGATGTGCCGCAAATGGGGCGTGCCGGGATTGCGCTGTATGGCGGTAATCCATTTGTAAATGAAGACAATCCGATGCTACCGGTTGCTCAGCTGCATGCCAGGGTGCTGCAGGTTTCTCAACTGCCCGCCGGGACAGCAATAGGTTATGGCGCAACGTATACCACCACTGTAGAAACCGAAGTGGCAACACTGGGCGTAGGCTATGCCGATGGCGTACCGCGGCTGTTGTCGGGTAAAGGTAATGTCTGGTTTACGACCGGTCAGGCCCCAATGGTCGGGCGGGTCAGTATGGACCTGATCACTGTGGACGTTACGGGCCTGTCGGTAACTACCGGCCAATGGGCGGAAGTCTGTGGTCCGAAGATCAGCCTGGATGAGGTGGCCAAGCAGGCTCAGACCATCAGTTACGAAATTCTGACTGGCTTAGGTCGTCGTTCAGAACGGGTCTACCTTGAGGGCGTGTTGAAGTAGCCGCCACGTTCAGTACGCGCAGATATTCAGCGTAGTCAGCGGCAGCTTCCTGATATTCACCCTGGGCGCGAAGAGCCAGTGAGCGGTTGTGGTACAACGCAGCTGTCAGGTCGAGCTGCTGAGCAGACTGTTGTGTGGCCATCAGCCCTTTGCTGAAAGCATCCGTAGCGGCAGCAAAACTGTTTTGTCGGATCAGAACTGCGCCCCAGTTATTCAGCACAGAGGGGTCATCTGGCGCAATGCTCAGCGCGTCTTCAATATAACGCCTGGCTGACGCCAGATCACCCTGGCCTGAACTCAATTTGCACATGGCAGTGAGAATCTGCGCTCGTATGGCCGGTGTGTTGTTGCTGGACAGTGCAGCTTCGCAGCGCCTCAGCTTGTCTACGCCAAAGGCAGCGGTTGGGCTCAGGCACTGCTCGAGGTCTGCGCTAACTGATGCGCGGGATAGCTCGATTTGCGGGGTAGGGTTTTTGATACGTATATCCACAGCGCTTTGAGCGAAGCTGGCAGCAGCGAGGGATAAACACAGGGCGCCTGATATCAGTTGGAACAGCAACACGACAACTTGGAGTGAATAGTTAGCCGTCATTGTCGTACAAGCCCGGCGTGTGCCGCAACCACTGCCAGCGACGCCAGGGCTGGGTTAAGCTGGGGCTTTGTCGAACGGGAGAAGATTATGGTTCAAGGGGTGAACAAAAATGGTGTGCTGGCGGGTCAGGTTGCACTGGTGACCGGTGCCAGTCGCGGTATTGGGTTGGCCATAGCGAAGCGATTTGCCATGGAAGGCGCCAAAATTGTTGTTACCGCGCGTACTGTGTCCGCAGATCAACATTTTCTGCCAGGCACCATTGCGGAGACTGTTGCGCAAATCAATGATGCTGGCGGTGAAGCAATTGCGGTGCAGGCCGATTTGGGTGTCAGTGAGGACAGGCATCGTTTAGTCGCCGAGGCTGAAGCTGCATTTGGTGGCGTGGATATCCTGGTGAATAACGCTGCCATTACCTATTTTATTCCGGTTGCGGACTTTCCGGAAAAGCGCTTCCGCCTGATGATGGACGTTCAGGTCTGGACGCCGTTTGAGTTAGCCCAACTTGTCCTGCCAGGCATGCGTGAGCGCGGTCGAGGTTGGATTCTTAATGTCTCTTCGCATGCGGCGATTCACCCGGAGAAAACCATGCCGGGTCGCGGCGGTACAGTCTATGGCATGTGCAAAGCGGCACTGGAGCGTTTTACGACGGGGCTCGCACAGGAGCTTTATGATGAAAATATTGGTGTCAATGTGATCTCCCCTGGCCTGGTAGCGACGCCGGGTGTCATGCATCACAAGCTGATTAACGAGCAGAACAAAGATAACGTAACGCCGGTGGAACATATGGCTGAAGCCTGTTTGAGACTGTGTTACGGAGATCCTAAGGAGCTCACCGGGCGCATCGATTACGCCGACGCCGTGATGGAAGAATTTAGCCTGGAAGCCGCTGAACTCATCTAAAAAGTAAATGCTTACTTACGCTTTGCGGCCTCTGCTGAACGGATTGGTAGCTCGGTCTTTTTGGTGACGGTGCGCAAAGCGAAGCTGGAATGAACCCGGTCTACACCGGGTAGCCGGGTCAGATGCTGGCTGTGCACGCGCTCGTAGTCGCGTGCATCAGCCACCACAACCCGCAGCAGATAGTCGGCATCGCCACTCATCAGGTAGCACTCCATCACTTCAGGTAATTCCCGCGCTTCGGCCTCGAAAGCTGCAAGATCGTCCTGCTGCTGGCTGAGCAGTGTAATCCGCACAAATACATTATCGGGATAGCCGGCGCTGGACTGGTCCACCAGGCCGACATAACCGCGTATAAAACCACTGTCCTCCAGCGCTCGTACACGCCTCAAGCAGGCTGACTCAGACAGATTGACCCGCTCCGCCAGGCCCGCGTTGCTGAGCCGGCCATCTGACTGTAGTTCATGCAGGATTAAACGGTCTATTCGATCCAGGTCGCTGTAAGTTGTCATAAAAATTACTTTTATTGAAAGAATCTTGCGTCTAGATCTTATTCGAAGCAAACAACGCAAGGAACCCTCTATGCAGCTTTCGTAAACTGTCGGTTAAGCGAAACCGGGCCCTATTTCAGCCCTTGAAGGAGTGAAGCTAATGCGTATCGGTGTACCAAAAGAGACCAAGGTTCATGAATATCGAGTGGGGTTATCACCTGCCAGCGTGGGTGAACTGAACGCTCATGGGCATGAAATCTGGGTAGAGACAGATGCCGGCACCTCGATCGGTTTTGATAACGATCATTATCGTGCGGCAGGGGCAAAAATTGTTGACAGGGCAGCCGCCTTCACAACAGATATGGTGGTGAAGGTTAAAGAACCTTCGCTGGCTGAGTGCGCGCAACTGCAGCGGGATCAGATTCTGTTTACCTATCTGCATCTCGCTGCAGCCCAGGCACAAGCCCACGCGCTGATGGATCGTGGCGTCACTGCGATAGCTTACGAGACGGTCGAAGATGCCGCTGGCCGCCTGCCGCTGTTATCACCGATGAGTGAGGTGGCTGGTCGGATGTCAATTCAGGTAGGCGCCTACGCTTTGCAGAAAGCTGCCGGTGGCCGAGGTACCCTGCTTGGTGGTGTGCCGGGTGTTGCGCCGGGGAAAGTGGTTATTCTCGGCGGCGGCATGGCCGGTACCAATGCAGCGTATATGGCGGTCGGGATGCACGCGGATGTGACTATTCTGGATAAGTCTGTCGACCGATTGCGTGCTTTGTCGACAGAGTTTGGCGGTCGCGCCAAAGTGTTGATGGCCTCGCGGGAAAATATTGCACAATGTGTACGCAGCGCAGATCTGGTGGTTGGTGCGGTATTGGTGCCCGGCGCAAGTGCGCCAAAGCTGGTGGATCGGCTTTTGTTGAGTGAAATGCTGCCGGGTTCTGTGCTGGTGGACATCTCCATTGACCAGGGGGGGACTTTTGAGTCCAGCCGTCCGACCTCACACGATCAACCCACCTACATTGACCAGGGTGTTGTGCATTACTGTGTGACAAATATGCCCGGAGCCGTTGCGCGCACCGCGACAGAAGCCCTGAACAACGTCACCCTGCCTTATGTCCTGGCCATTGCGGATAAAGGTTGGCGCGTTGCTCTGGCTGATATCCCTGGTTTTGCTAAAGGTCTGAATGTCTCCGAGGGTCGCATATGTCATCCGGAAGTTGCCAAAGCGCTGGGGATCGATAGTCCACTGGCGGCTTAAGTTGTGCGCCACAGTGGGTTGTGGGACGCTAGCGTGAGCTAAACGGTTTACGAGGGTATGCAGTGAAAGAGGTACCGGTAAGTACATTACATAACGAGTTTCCACCGGGGTCGGTGGAGGCGAAAGACATGCAGCACATGCTGCACCCCACCACAAACCTGAAGCTGCACGCGCAGAAGGGCCCGCTGGTGAACGAGCGTGCCCAAGGCGTTTACATGTGGGACAACCATGGCAAGCAGTACCTTGAAGGGATGGCCGGTCTCTGGTGCACCGCGCTGGGATACGGTAACGAAGAGCTTGCTGACGTTGCTGCCCAGCAGATGAAAAAGATGTCGTACTCACAGCTCTTCGCCGGTAAAACTAACGAGCCGTCTGTGTTGTTGGCGGAAAAGCTTGTCGCGATGGCCCCATTCGATGCATCAAAGGTTTTCTTCGGTCTTTCCGGCAGCGATGCAAACGACACGCAGATAAAGTTGATGTGGTATTACAACAACGCTCTGGGTCGGCCTGAAAAGAAAAAGATCATCAGTCGTACGCGCGGTTATCACGGGGTAACCATAGGCAGTGGTTCGCTCACAGGTCTGCCGGCTTTTCATAATGCTTTTGATCTGCCGATGCCTGGCGTTGTGCACACGGATTGCCCGCATTTTTACAGCGAAGGTCACCCAGGGGAAACTCAGACGCAGTTCGTTGATCGAATTGTTAACAACCTGGAAGAGCTGATTTTAACCGAAGGCCCTGAGACCATTGCTGCGTTTGTGGCTGAACCGATTCTCGGTGCAGGCGGAGTGATAGTGCCGCCTGCAGGTTATTACCCGAAGGTTCAAGCCGTGCTTGATAAGTACGAGATTCTCTTCATTGATGACGAGGTTATCTGCGGATTTGGTCGTACCGGGCAAGCTTTTGGTGCGCAAACCATGGACATAAAACCTACTACCATGAGTGTGGCAAAAGCGCTTTCTTCGGCTTATCTGCCGATCAGTGCGGTGCTGCTGCCGGAGTTCATGTTTGACGCCTTTACACAGGTCTCAGATGAACTTGGTGTGTTTGGGCATGGCTTTACCTACTCCGGGCATCCGGTCTGTGCTGCGGTCGCGTTGCGTAATCTCGAGATTATGGAGGAGCGCGCCCTGTTTGCCCACGCCGCCGATGTTGGCGCCGTTATGCAGTCTCGATTGCAGGAATTTGCCGATCACCCGCTGGTGGGAGAAGTGCGTGGTGAAGGTTTGATTGCCGGCGTGGAATTGGTCAAAGAAAAGCAGCCCCGGGTTCCGTTTCCGCTCAGCCAGGGCGTAGCAGCCTACTGTGCGGCAGCTTGTCAGGAAGCTGGTCTGATTGTACGTAACATTGGCGATACTATAGCTTTCTGTCCGCCGCTGATTATTACTGAGGCACAGATTCATGAAATGGCGGATAAGTTCACAGCTGGCCTGAACGATACACTGGCCTGGGTGTCGAAAAACGCTCAACATGGCGAATAAACATGGAACTGTTTATATGGCGGTGAATCTCCACGTAACAAGGTGAACCAGTGAAAGCATCGGATTTGTTTGTACAGTGCCTGGAGGCGGAAGGCATTGAGCTTATTTTTGGCGTGCCTGGCGAAGAAAACGCCGACTTCATGATGTCGTTAGAAAAATCTGAGACCATACGCTTTGTGCTCACCCGCCATGAGCAAGGCGCCGCCTTTATGGCTGAAATTTATGGCCGTCTCACAGGTAATCCGGCAGGGTGTCTCGGTACGCTCGGCCCGGGTGCGACTAATCTGATCACGGGTGTTGCCGATGCCGATATGGATCGCGCGCCCATGCTGGTCCTGACCGGCCAGGGTTCTACAGAACGCCTGCACAAAGAGTCTCACCAGGTCATGGATGTGGTGGCGATGTTTGAACCGGTGACCAAATGGGCAACGTCCATACTGCATCCCAACACGATCCCCGAGGTTGTGCGTAAAGCTGTGCGCCTGGCAAGAACTGAAAAACCGGGTGCTGTGCACATCGAACTGGCTGAAGACCTTGCCAAGCATGAGACGCCGGCATTGCCCATCGAGCCGCGGCGTTTCCGTCGTCCAGTGCCGGCAGATAAGATTGTTGACACTGCGTTTGACCTTCTGAAGAAAGCAAAAAAACCGGTGATCATTGCAGGCAATGGCTGCATTCGTCGGCGTGCCAGTAAACAGTTGCGGCAGTTTTGTGAAACGACCGGCATAGGTGTCATCAGCACGTTCATGGCCAAAGGAGCCGTGGATATGGACAGTGAATACTGTCTCTATACCGTGGGTTTGGGCAGTAAAGACCGTATGAATCTGGTGCTTGATGAGGCGGATCTGGTACTGACCCTTGGTTTCGATATGGTGGAATACCATCCTCAGCTATGGAATCCCGGGCGCGACAAAAGTATTGTTCATGCGGATTTTCTCCCGGCAGAAATTGACGAGTACTATCACCCTGAAGTGGAAGTTGTGGGTGATCTTGCCCATTTTCTGTGGATGATGAATGAGCGCCTGCAAGCACACGGTCCTATTCAATTTGATCTTGCCCACCAGCGCGAAGCGCGCGCGGCAATGTCTGCTGATCTTGCTGAATATGCACAAGATACCCAGGTGGGTTCAATCCGGCCGCAGAAAGCACTATGGGATTGTCGACAGGTGCTGGGACCGGATGATGTGTTGCTGTCTGACGTTGGTGCGCACAAAATGTGGATCGCGCGTCATTATCACTGCCATGAGCCGAACACCTGTCTGATTCCCAACGGATTCTGTTCCATGGGGTTTGCCCTTCCCGGCGCCATAGCTGCTTCGTTGGTATATCCTGAGCGTAAGATTCTTGGCATTGCCGGCGATGCGGGTTTCCTGATGAATGTGCAGGAAATGGAAACCGCAAAGCGACTCAACTGCAATCTGGTGATGATGGTGTGGGAAGATCACGCCTATGGTCTGATTGCCTGGAAACAGGACAATGAGTTCGGACGCCATACGGACCTGAGCTTTGACAATCCTGAATGGATGGGCTTGGCGCAGTGTTTCGGCTGGCACGGACATCGTTGTGAGGACAGTGCGCAATTGCAGGACACACTTGAAGCTGCGTTTGCAGAATCGGGCCCGAGTCTTGTTGTGATCCCCATAGACTATCGGGAAAACTCATTGCTGACGCAGAAGCTGGGCGAGATAACCGCCAGCTTATAAAACCCGCCTTTGACCTGGTCCGGCGGGCTATTGCTGGACAAGTTCCATGCCCCTCGGCACACTCATCCCGCACATAAAAAGGGTGAGGGTTGGGGTTTTAAATGCAACGCAGTCAAAAATGGAAGCTGCTGGGCGCGCTGTTGGTGCTGCTCGGGGTGTCCGTCTCAGCGGCTGAAGTGGTGATCAGTGACGATGGACGGCAGATTCAAATCAACGGCGACGGCACCTGGGTGCAGTTATCCAAAGATCGATACGCAATAAACGCAGCCGGTGAACGGATTCGCCTGAAACCCGATGGCACCTGGAGTTTGCTGGGCGATGCTATACCTGAGGATGCCCGAGGGGCGGTTGCTTTAACGCCCATCAGTGCTGCGCTCGAAAGCACATTGTTTTTATCTAAAGTTGAAATTCTCAAACGCCGTATAGAGCGGGCCAAATCCACGCATGCGGAGGTGCGCACCGTCTACTACCTGCAGGTGGTCAATGACAGTCCCGCGGACATTAGTCTGGATAACTCGTTGTCCGCCAAGCTCTTACCGGGTAGCTCTTCCGGTGCAGAGTTTGACGTTATCTCAGTCAGTTTTCCGACCGGCCTGATAAAACCCGGTGAACGCGAAACGATCGAGGTTGTTGCCGATGGTGCACCGCGCTGGTTCGGTGTTAAGGCGATGACCCTGGAAGTAGCCGCTGGTGCATTAGGCAACCGGCAGTCGAGGGTGCTCAGCAAGATAATGAGTGATGTTGATCGTCGTGATGTCGATGACTTCTAGAAAGCAACACAGCCGAGATTAGATATGGCCATTCTTAACAGCTCCATCGACACCCGTAGTGATGCGTTTGCCCTGAACGACGCGCATAACCGCAAGTTGCGTGGTGAACTGCGGGCACTGGTTGCACAGATCTCTCTGGGCGGTGATGAAAGATCTCGATCACGACATCAAAGCCGCGGCAAGCTGCTCCCCAGAGAACGTATAGATCGCTTGTTAGATCCGGGGGCTGCCTTTCTCGAGGTTGGCCAACTTGCCGGCTACGAACTGTATGACGATAACATTCCCAGTGGCGGCATCATCACCGGTGTGGGTTGTGTGGCTGGCCAGCCCTGTATGATTGTTGCTAATGATGCCACCGTTAAAGGCGGCACCTATTATCCCATCACGGTAAAGAAACACCTGCGTGCCCAGGAAATTGCAATGGAGAATTCGCTGCCATGTATTTACCTGGTGGATTCAGGTGGGGCTTTTCTGCCCCTGCAGGCGGATGTCTTCCCAGACAAAGATCACTTTGGTCGGATTTTCTATAATCAGGCCAACATGTCTGCACGGGGCATACCGCAAATTGCCGTCGTTATGGGCTCGTGTACCGCCGGCGGCGCTTATGTGCCAGCCATGTGTGATCAGGCGATCATCGTCAAAGATCAGGGCACCATATTCCTGGGAGGGCCGCCCCTGGTTAAAGCCGCCACCGGAGAAGTGGTTGATGCTGAAACGTTGGGGGGTGGTGAAGTCCACAGCCGCACCTCTGGCGTAGTGGATTATCTGGCGGATAACGATGAACACGCGCTGCTCCTGGCCCGTGAAGCAGTTGCCCACAGTCACCAGCAATTTGGCTCCAGTGTAACCACTCAGCAGGTTCGAGCGCCGCGTTATGCGGCAGAAGAGTTATATGGCGTGATGCCCACAGATACGCGCACACCGTTTGATGTGCGTGAGGTTATTGCGCGCCTGGTAGATGATTCAGAATTCCACGAATTTAAAAAGTTGTATGGAGAAACGCTGATTTGCGGGTTTGCCCATGTTCAGGGTATGCCGATTGCGATAGTTGCTAACAACGGTATTCTTTTTTCGCAAAGTGCGGTGAAAGGTGCTCACTTTATCCAGCTGGCAGACCGCCGTGGTATACCGTTGCTGTTTCTACAGAACATCACCGGCTTTATGGTCGGGCAAAAATATGAACACCAGGGCATTGCCAAAGACGGCGCAAAAATGGTCACCGCCGTGGCGTGTGCCAAGGTGCCTAAGTTTACGGTGGTCATTGGTGGGTCGTTTGGGGCCGGTAACTATGCCATGTGCGGGCGTGCGTATGGCGCGCGTATGCTGTGGACCTGGCCAAATGCGAGAATTTCCGTGATGGGCGGCGAGCAGGCTGCACATGTTCTGGCCACTGTCCGGCAGGATGGCCTGGATGCTCGCGGTGACACCTGGGCGGATGCAGATAAACAGTCGTTTATGCAGGGTATCCGTGACGCCTATGATGCAGAGGGGCACCCTTTCTACGCGTCCGCCCGACTTTGGGATGATGGTGTTATCGACCCGGCGGATACCCGCCAGGTTCTGGCATTAGCGTTACAGATTGCAACCCAGCAGTCGCATCAACCGCAGTCAGACTTCGGCATCTTCAGGATGTAACCGCTTGAGGATATTAATGTGATCAGAACTCTGTTAGTCGCCAATCGAGGCGAAATAGCCTGCCGTATATTCAGCACTGCAAGGCGTCTTGGTATCCGCACGGTTGCCGTCTATTCACAAGCGGATGCACAGGCACTGCACGTGCGCAGTGCTGACAGCGCTATCTGTATTGGTCCTGCAAGTGCTGCGGAAAGTTATCTGAATGTTGAAGCAGTGCTTGACGCCGCGCGGCAGAGCAATGCGGATGCGATCCATCCCGGTTACGGTTTTCTGTCGGAAAATGCGGAGTTTGCGCTGGCTTGTGAGCATGCGGGGATCATCTTCGTTGGCCCGCCTGCAGAAGCGATTAGAACCATGGGTTCAAAAACCGCTGCGAAACAGCTGATGCAATCTGCGGGGATCCCGATACTGCCTGGTTATCATGGAGACGAACAGGATGCAGACTTTCTTGCAGCCCAGGCTGCTGAAATTGGTTACCCGCTGCTGATCAAAGCTTCCGCCGGCGGCGGCGGCAAAGGTATGCGCCTGGTCACACAGGCATCAGAATTTGCTGATCAACTGGCGGGTGCTAAACGAGAAGCCAAGGCTGCATTTGGTGACGATGTTGTGCTGCTTGAACGTTATCTTACGGCGCCAAAACACATTGAAGTCCAGCTTATGGCAGATCAGCATGGTGACGTTGTGCATCTGTTGGAACGGGACTGTTCGGTACAACGGCGTCACCAGAAAGTGGTTGAAGAAGCACCCGGGCCTACGGTGTCACCGCAATTACGCAACCGTCTGGGTCAAACGGCTGTTATGGTTGCTAAACAGGTAGGTTATGTGGGCGCCGGGACGGTGGAATTCATCGCGGAGGGTGACGAATTCTATTTCATGGAAATGAACACCCGTCTTCAGGTTGAACATCCGGTAACTGAGGCGATTACCGGATTAGACCTGGTGGAGATGCAGCTTAATGTTGCTGCGGGTAAACCTCTGGGAATGAATCAATCTGACGTTAAGCTTGATGGTCATGCCATAGAGGTGCGGTTGTACGCTGAGAATCCGGCCAAACACTTTTTACCTTCCACCGGCAAGCTGGTGAGGTTTGAAACACCCCGCTCCATTCGGGTTGATACAGGCGTGCAGGCAGGCGATAGCGTCAGCCCGCACTACGACCCGATGCTGGCGAAGCTGATCGTTCATGCGCCCCATCGTGACGCGGCCATAGACCAGTTGGTAAGCGCCTTGCGTCAATGCAGGATTGCAGGGATAGATCATAACCTGGGCTATCTGGTTGGTATGTTAAACCACCCACTGTTTAAATCAGGGGCGTATACGACGGGAATCGCTGACGCCATTCATGGTGAAGTAGTGCCTGATTGTAAGAATGAGTTTGCAGCCTCTGCCGGTGAGTTTGTATTAGCTGGCGGCTCTGAGCATAAACCGTTCACAACAGGTCTGCCCTGGACGGGTAGTGGATTCCGCCTGAATCAGGATGCGGTGCGCAAAGTTGTGCTTCGACAGGGTAAGTTGGAATACCTGATTAACAAAGGTCTGGACACGACCCTGGTGAATGGTGAGGCAGTTGTCCGGATGAACCCACAACTGACAGAAGTCCTGGCTGATGGCGATTTTCTGTATGTCATGGCTGATGGCCATACGGAAAAATATATCGACCTCACAGATGATATGAGTCGTTATCAGAATCAGACCCTGACAGCGGCTGGAATTGTTGCTCCGATGCCTGGTGCGGTGATCGCGGTGAACGTGAAGGTGGGCGAGCGCGTGAAAGTCAACGATGTGGTGGTGGTGGTTGAAGCCATGAAAATGGAACACGGTATCCGTGCGACAAAAAACGGCGTTGTCAGAAGTGTGATGTGCGCGGTTGGCGATCGCGTTGAGGAAGGCCTGGAACTGGTTGATATCCAGTAGCAGCGTACAGGGCTTTCATTCGACATTAATGTCTGGCTGAAAGCGCCTATTTGGTATGATCTGTTCTTCTATCAAAACGAAGATAACCTACCGTGAGCAGCTTACCTGATTTTGACTTCGGTCATGGTGAAACCATTAATCTCCTGCGCGACAGCGTTGCCCAGTTTGCCGCCAAAGAGATCACACCCCGCGCCCAGGAAATAGATCAACAGAATCTGTTTCCACGTGACCTGTGGGGCAAGCTAGGCGAGCTTGGGGTTATGGGTATGACCATTGAGGAGCAGTACGGAGGCGTGAACCTCGGCTATCTCGCTCATACCGTGGTGATGGAAGAAATCAGCCGGGCCTCTGCATCGGTTGGTCTGTCTTATGGCGCCCATTCGAATCTCTGTGCCAACCAGATTCGCCGGTTTGGCAATGACGAACAAAAACAGAAATATCTCCCCGGGCTTGTGTCGGGCCAGTATCTGGGCGCGCTGGCCATGAGTGAGCCGGGCGCGGGTTCGGATGTGGTGGGCATGTCGCTGCGCGCCCGCGAAGATGGCGATAACTATGTTTTGAACGGCAACAAAATGTGGATAACCAATGGCCCCGGTGCGGATGTCCTTGTGGTTTATGCCACCATCGATCCAGCCCTTGGTTCTAAAGGCATTACCGCGTTCCTGGTTGAAAAGGACCTGGCAGGGTTCAGTACGGGAGTGAAGCTGGATAAATTAGGCATGCGCGGTTCTGACACGGCAGAACTGATTTTTGAAGACTGCCGTGTGCCGAAGACACAGATTCTGGGTCAGGTTGGTAAAGGTGTGCAGATTCTCATGAGCGGGCTGGACTATGAGCGCGTCGTGCTTGCTGGCGGCCCCCTGGGCATCATGCGCAGCGCGCTGGATGTGGTGATGCCTTATCTGCATGAACGCAGCCAGTTTGGTCAGGCGATTGGACAGTTCCAACTGATGCAGGGCAAAGTGGCAGATATGTATACCGAAATGAACGCGGCGAGAGCTTATGTCTATGCGGTGGCTCAGGCCTGTGATGCGGGCCGTACGACACGGTTTGATGCGGCGGGATGTATTCTGTTTGCTGCAGAAAAGGCGACACAGATAGCGCTCCAGGCAATTCAATGTCTGGGCGGCAATGGTTACATCAATGACTATTCCACGGGGCGGTTGCTCAGGGATGCTAAGCTTTACGAAATCGGCGCGGGTACCAGCGAAATCCGACGTATGCTGATTGGTCGCGAGTTGTTCGACGCCACTGCCGTCTAGCGCTATAATTCGCGCCGTTTTTTGCTAGCTCATTGCTAGCTCATTGCTAGCTGTCGGTCGATCATGAAATCGACACACTATTATTTGGAGATATGTTTTGAAGCGTAGTTTCAGTTCTTCTATGGCCGTTTTAGCGGTTGTTGCGAGCGTTTGGGTGTTTGCGTTACCACCAGGTACAACGGAAGAAATCAGTCAGCGAATTGATCCTTTTGGCAGTGTCAGTCGCGTCGGTGACGCCGGCGGTGCGCCGGTCAGCAGCGCTTCAGCAGAGCCGCTTTCTGGTCAGCAGGTGTATGACCAGTTCTGTTTTGCCTGCCATGCCGGCGGCATTGGTGGTGCACCTACTTTTGGTGATACTGCGCAATGGGCAGAACGGGTGGATCAAGGGATGGACGTGCTGATGGACCACACCATTAACGGCATCCGCACCATGCCGGCAAAAGGTACCTGCATGAATTGTTCAGACGACGAACTCAATGCAGCGGTCACCTACATTCTGGATAACCTGCCTTAGCCAGACGGGTGGTTGCCCCCTCAGCGCAAATTGTTTTCCCAGTCGAGTCCCCGGTAGGAAAGCGCCTCGGTCATGTCACCGAGGCGGATAATCGGACTTTCACTTAAATCGGCAATGCTGCGCGCGATACGCCAGATTTTGTGATAACTGCGCGCAGAGAGGTTAAAACGCCGGATTGCCTGTTGCAGAAAGCCATCGTCCAGTTTCGCATCTGCAATCTCTCTCTCGAGCTGCTCCCCACTTAACAAAGCGTTGATACAACCCTGGCGCGTCTGCTGAGTTTGTCGCGCTTGTGCCACCCTGGCACGCAGTGTGTCGGTGGTGTTGCTTGATTGTTTGTTGCCCAGCCGGGTCAACATTTCCTGCCTCAGGGCGGGCACTTGTACCTGAATATCAATTCGATCCAGCAGCGGTCCGGACACCCGGCTCTGATAACGCTGTACCTGTGTGGGCGTGCATCGACAGTTGTCTTCACGACACACCCGCCCCGCCGGGCAGGGGTTCATGGCCGCAATCAGCTGAAAGCGACAGGGGTAGGTGACTTTGTATCTGGCGCGTGTGATCACCGCCGAACCGGTTTCGATGGGCTCCCGCAATAAATCCAGCGCCGAAGGTTTGAAATGCGGCAACTCGTCGAGGAACAGGACGCCGTGATGTGACAGGGCGACTTCGCCAGGTTGCGGCGGATTGCCACCACCCATCAACGCCGCGGCGCTGGCGGAATGGTGTGGATCGCGAAACGGCGCCAGGCGATAGTTGTGCCTTGGCAGCCCAGCGGCAGAGTAGACTGCTGCACACTCCAGCGCCTGGGTGCTGTCCAGTTCAGGCAACAGGGCGGCAAAACTCCGCGCCAACATGGTTTTGCCTGTACCTGGCGGGCCCACCATAAGCAAATGGTGTCCGCCTGCCGCAGCAATAGTCAGGGCGCGTTTGGCCGCTTCCTGACCAACAATCTGGTGTAGCTGTGGGGTTGCCTGATCTGGCTGAGTGTTTGTGCAAACGGGGTTGGGCAATGGGATCGGCTTGCTCATGCCTGCCGGCAGTGCAGAGGTTTTGATCTGCTGATCCTCTGATTGTGTCAGATAGCGTGTTACAGAAAGCAGGCTGTTGGCGAGCAGCAAAGCCTCAGCGGGCGCAATTTGCGCTTCGGCCTGGTTGCTGTCCGGCACAATCAGAATTCGATCAGCAGCCTGGGATGCAAGCGCGCAGGTTAAACATCCGCTGACTTTGCGCAGTTCACCGAATAAGCCAAGCTCACCTAAAAATTCTAAATGTTTGAGTTGAGTGCCCGGGATCTGTTGGCTTGCGCTGAGAATCGCCAGGGCAATGGGTAAATCCAGAGCGGCGCTTGATTTGGTCAGGCTACCCGGCGCCAGATTGATCACTACTGCGCCGTCAGGATAGCTGAACCCGGAATTGATGATGGCGCTGCGTACCCGGTCACGCGCTTCGCGAACGGCACCATCTGGCAGGCCCACTATTGTTGTATGCGGCAAACCATTGCCAATGTGACACTCTACGGTCACTGATGCGGCATGCAGGCCCAGGAGCGAGCGACTGTGTATTTGTGGCGCAGTCCTCGTCTCGTTAAGTTCAGGCTCAGGCAGTTTCTTCAAGCTGTTTCAGGCGTTGTTCAAGCGTGCCTACCTGAATTTCAAGCGACTTGAGAATATCCAGATGTGCCTGGTATTCATGTTTAGGCACCAGCTCAAATTTGGCCATGAAATCTAAAGCCGCAGTTTCAAAGCTCTGCAGAGTGTCCTGGGGTACCCGCCCCGCCAGGTTCTGCTGAATCAGGTCGAGAAAAGCGCGCAGCGGATCCATGTTTCATCTCATCTAGTAAAGAAGAAGCCATGGTACTGCAGCCACAGTGTGTTGCAGAGAGGTTCATGCCGCTGTTTGTGTAGGCATATGCCCCAATTTAGTGCGAGAAGCGCACTGTTGTTGTGCTCCAAAACAGGGCGTTTTCCCGGCGTCACCGCTAACCCATTGTTCTTATTGCGTTTATTAACTGGCACGCAACCTGCACTAGGGAAGACTCACAGCATTCATGGTCAACCATGGTGCAGTGTTAAACCAAGGGGTCAGAAAAATATTGACCAGTTAAGGGTCGCAAAGGAGAACACATGAGAGCTTTAAATAAAATTGTTGCAGCAGCAGCGCTTGCATCGGGTGCATTAATGACGTCTAACGTTGCCAGTGCCGATGTGTCGTTCAACATTGGTTACGCATCGGAGTATTACTTCCGCGGCGTAAATCAGAAAAATTCGTCCGGTAGCGTTGGCGCGGACTACGAAAACAGTGGTTTTTATGTCGGCACGTGGGCTGCAGACGTAGGTGATGGCTTGGAAGTAGACGGCTACTTCGGCTACGGCATCGAAACTGAAGCAGGTTTAAGCGCCAGCCTCGGTTTCACCGGCTACTACTACACAGGTGAGTTCGACGACACCTACGAAGAAATTAACCTGAACCTGGGTTACGGCCTGTTCAGTCTTGAGTACAGCGTAGGCGAGTGGGACGGCTTCGGTGATTCTCAGGATTACGACTTCCTTGCCGGTACTGTTTCGCTTGAGAATGGTCTGTATGGCACCTACGGCACCTGGGGCAAAGACTTCGACGGTGAGTACCTTGAGCTGGGCTGGGGCACCACAGTATCTGAAATCGACCTTGGTATAGCCCTCATTCTGTCAAGCGATGAGCTTTCAGACCAACTAGACAGCGGCGGCTCTCCAACAGAAAGCGAAGCGGTTGTATTCACCATTGGGAAAACTTTCTAAATAGCGCTTTTTTTACCGCTAGCTCACTGCAGTACCGTGAGTTAGTGGTATCTCTAAGCCACTAATTATTAGAAAATCCTAGGGATGCGAGTTGAGATGATCTTCCACAAAGCCTGTCTGGCACGCATCCCCAACTAGGAGATAAGAAAACATGAAATTAATCACAGCCATTATCAAGCCATTCAAACTGGATGATGTGCGCGAAGCCCTGTCCGAAGTAGGCGTCCAAGGGATGACGGTTACGGAAGTCAAAGGTTTTGGCCGACAGAAAGGCCATACAGAACTGTATCGCGGTGCGGAATATGTCGTCGATTTTTTACCGAAGGTGAAAATTGAGACGGCGGTAGGTGACGACATGCTTGAGCAAGCGATCGAAGCCATTACCAAGTCAGCCAATACCGGCAAAGTGGGGGACGGCAAGATCTTCGTGACAGCGTTGGATGAAGTCGTTCGTATTCGAACCGGGGAAACCGGCGCCGACGCGGTTTAACGCTCGGCAATCACGGAGAAAATTGTGGAAGATCTAGTTCAACTCAGTTATTCAGTAGATACGCTCTACTTCCTGGTCATGGGCGTGCTTGTCATGTTCATGGCGCCCGGTTTTGCCATGCTCGAAGCGGGCATGGTGCGGGCTAAAAACACGTCCGAAATCTTACTTAAAAACGTCGCTCTGTTTTCCATTGCGTCCATCATGTACCTGTTGGTCGGTTACGCGATCATGTACGGCGATGGCAGCGGTTGGATGCCTGGCTTTGGCTTCCTGATTGGTGCCGAAAACACCACGGAAGAAGTCCTTGCCTCAGGCGGTGACACCTACTATTCAGCGCGTTCTGACTTCTTTTTCCAGGTTGTCTTTGTTGCAACCGCCATGTCCATTGTGTCTGGTGCCGTGGCTGAACGTATGAAACTGTGGGCATTTCTTGCCTTTGCAGTGGTTATGACCGGCTTCATCTATCCTGTCCAGGGCTTCTGGAAATGGGGTGGCGGTGGCCTCGACGAGCTGGGCTTCTTAGACTTTGCAGGCTCGGGTGTTGTTCATATGTGTGGTGCAGCAGCAGCGCTCGCGGGTGTTATTCTGCTTGGCCCACGTCTGGGTAAATATGGTCCCAACGGGCAGATTAACCCAATTCAAGGTGCCAACATGCCACTGGCCACGCTGGGTATGTTTATCCTCTGGTTTGGCTGGTTCGGTTTCAACGGTGGTTCTGAGCTTATGGTCAGCAACGTTGATGAAGCGAATGCCGTGTCACAAGTATTTGTGAACACCAATACGGCAGCTGCAGGCGGCCTGGTTGCGGCGCTGATTCTGGCGCGCATCATGTTTGGTAAAGCGGATCTGACGATGGCGCTCAACGGTGCGTTGGCAGGTCTGGTATCGATCACAGCAGAACCGCTTACCGGCTCTAACCTGGCTTCCCTGGGTATAGGTGCTGTAGGTGGCGTGATTGTTGTGCTGTCGATTGTCATGCTCGATAAGCTGAAAATCGATGACCCTGTAGGCGCCATCTCAGTCCACGGTACGTGTGGTATCTGGGGTCTGTTGGCGGTCGTGATCACCAACTCTGATGCCACCATTGGTGCGCAGTTGATCGGTATTGCAGTGATCTTCGCCTGGACCTTTGGGGTCAGCTTGATCGTCTGGTTGATCATCAAAGCCGTTATGGGTATCCGAATCTCTGAAGAAGAGGAATACAACGGCGCAGACATTACTGAAACCGGTATCGAAGCTTATCCGGAGTTTTCCAAAGGCTGATCTGATCGGTTAAAGATAACGGGGGACAGCGCCAGGTCTGCCCTGCGCATCCCACCGTTACCGATCTTCAAAAGAGAGCCGGGCTTTGTTTTCAAAGCCCGGTTTTTCTTTTTCTGCCCCCTCATTTTTTCGCGCTTCGAAACTGGCGCTTTTTCAGATCTGTTCTATAACTACTGTCGAGACTGATTAAGGAAAGTGTCATGGAAACGACAACAACCCCAAACGCAAATGAAGAATTAGGCAGCTATACCCCTGAAGCGCGTGCAGAAACCCGCAGCGAGTTAAAGGCTGACATCGAAAAGTTTCTCAAGTCTGGTGGCAAAGTTGATGAAATTGCCAAAGGTGAACGGGCAGACCCGCCGCGCAAGCCTGAAAACAACTATGGCCGCGGATCTATCTGACATCAGTAGCCACTGAAACACTGCACCGGGCGTAATTATCAGTAGAATAGCGCGCTTGGAAAATCCACAAGTGACGGGTTATGAAATATTGCAGCACGCGGGGCGGTGTCGCTGATTTATCGTTTGTTGATGCTTTGCTGATGGGGCTTGCACCTGACGGTGGCCTGCTGGTCCCTACCGAGCTGCCTGATGTGACGGCTCACCTGGACAAATGGCGTGAGCTGAGCTTTGTTGGCCTTGCCCAGGAAGTGATCGCTCTGTTTGTTGATGATATCGATCGACCCACCCTCGACAGGCTGATAACAGAGGCTTACGCCACGTTTGATCACCCTGATGTCATTGGTTGGCAGCAGCTTGGTGACGTTGACGTCATGGAGCTTTACCACGGACCTACACTGGCGTTCAAAGACGTTGCGCTGCAGCTTCTGGGCCGCCTGTTTGAACACGTCTTAGGTCAACGCCATCAGCACCTGAATATTCTCGGAGCCACCAGCGGTGATACCGGTGGTGCGGCCATAGCCGGTGTGCGTGGTCAGGACAACATCGACATCTTTATTCTGTTTCCCGAAGGCAAGGTCAGTCCGCTGCAGGAACTGCAGATGACCACCGTCGCTGACGACAATGTGCACTGTATAGCGGTGCAGGGTAGTTTTGACGATTGCCAGTCGTTGATGAAAGAGATTTTTGCAGATCTCGATTTTAAGGCTGAATATCAGCTGGGCGCTGTGAATTCGGTCAATTGGGCGCGGGTCATGGCGCAGATTGTCTATTACGGTTATGCAAGTCTGCGTTACAAAACACCGCCCGCTTTCTGCGTGCCCACCGGCAACTTCGGTAACGTGTTTGCTGCTTTTCTGGCGAAAGAAATGGGTTTCCCTATTGATCGCCTGCTGGTGGCAACCAATGAGAACGATATCCTGGCGCGCTTTTTTGCCACCGGAGAATATGCCCGGGGCAACGTGCACTTTACGCTCTCACCTGCCATGGACATTCAGGTTGCCAGTAATTTCGAACGGTTTCTGTATTACTACTTCGATAAAGATACGGTACAGCTTAACGCGTTCATGCACTCGTTCAGCAGTCAGGGCCGTGCCACCCTAGACGGTCCGCCTGATGTAGATTTCATGCAGGCAACGGCGGTGAACAGCAAGCAGACGCTGGCGGCGGTAAAACATGTCCATGATCAGTTCAATTATGTATTGGACCCTCACACTGCGGTAGGTTATGCCGCCTGTCAGGTGTTCAGACAGAGTGTGGATGCGCCGTTGGTCTGTGTTGCCACAGCGCATCCAGCTAAGTTTCCGGAGGCGGTAAAGCAGGCTGCTGCGGATGCACAGGCAAATCACCCCACGCTTGATGCGCTGATTGGACTACCCGCTAAAAAACAGGTTATTCCGGCCACTATTGAGGCGGTAAAAAAGGTTATTTCGGAACAGGTGAAAGGCCGTTCAGCCTGAGACAATCTGTTGCACGGCATCTTTCACCGCACTTAAATGAGTGACTTCCCGACTTGGCGTGACGTCAGCCGGTTGCCCGCCAACCAGGTTCACCCAGATGCTGTGCATGCCGACACGGTCTGCACCCTGGATGTCATCCACCAGATGATCACCAATATGGATGGCCTGTCGCGGCTTTAACTGCAAGGCCGACAGCGGCGCTTCGAACATGGCAGGATGAGGTTTCTTGTTTCCCACATCCGCGGCACTGTATGCACCACTGAAAAAGTCCGCCAGCCCGGTTTTGTTGATATTGGCGTTACCGTTGGTTAACGCGATGATGTCGAATTCCCGGCTCAGGGATTGCAACATCTCCAGCGCCCCTTCAAATAACACCACCTGGTTGCGCCCCTCAAAGAAAACGTCAAATGCTGCCTTTGCCTGGAGACGTGCGTCAGCATCGGATAGCCCGGTTTGCCGCATTATCTCAAAAAGAATCTGCGTTCGCATGAAGCTGAGGTCGTGGCTTTGCTGGGTGTGGCGGGCGAACACTTCCTGGCGCAGCCTGTTCAGATTGTCTGGCTGATAATGGGCCAGCGAATCAGGAACATTTTCCAGCAGCCATGCTTTCAGCATTGCCTCTGCTTTGATGATAATGCTGTCCACATCCCATAGCGTATTGTCCAGGTCGAGGGTGATGAGTTTGATGCTGCTCATGGTGCCTAACTCTTTTCCGACCCATCCGGAATCAAACCGCTGCGAGGATGAGCAGCGTCATAGACCTTGGCCAGGTGCTGAAAGTCCAGGTGGGTGTAGACCTGTGTGGTTGCTATATCACTATGCCCCAACAACTCCTGGATTGCGCGAAGGTCACCTGAAGATTCCAGCATGTGGGTGGCAAAACTGTGACGCAGCATGTGTGGATGCAGAGCGTTGTCAGCGAGTTGTTCTGTCGCGATTTTTTTCAGTCGGCTTTGAATTGTACGCGGGCTGATGCGTTTGTTTCCTCTACCGAGAAAGATTGGGCGGTCAGGCAGGCATTCATCGGATTCATGAAGCCACACCCGCAAAGCTTCTAAAGAGTGGCGTCCCAGAGGAACGTTGCGGGCCTTGTTACCCTTACCGATAACCCTGACAAAACCAGACTCCAGGTCAACGTCACCGATATTGAGATTCACCAACTCCATCAAGCGCAGACCAGAGCCGTAAAACAACTCAAGCATGGCGCGATCGCGTTTTTCTACAGGCGAGGCAGGCGTCTTATCGAACAGACGCGAAGCCTGATCGGTATCAAGGACTTTGGGTAATTTCCTTTGTGCCTTAGGGACACGAGCGATTGCTGCCGGGTTGGTTTTCAGTCTGCCCTGGCGCTGCCAGTAGGTGAAAAAACTTCGCAAGGCTGATACCGCGCGAGCGATGCTTTTAGGCTGTAAGCCGGTTTGACGCAGGTGGCCGATATAAAGAGTGATGTCGTGGCTGCGAGATTCCAACAGGTTTCGTTTGAAGTGTTTCTCAAATTTAGCCAGTTCGTGCTGATAGCCGCTCAGGGTATGTTGCGAGTAGCGCTTCTCTACCGTCAGATACTTTAAAAAGTCGACAATCTCAACGCTTGTGGTGGTGTCACTGTCCCGGGTCACGGTTCATGCCTCAAAGGCGATTCAGCACCTTTGTTAGAACATCCGCTATGTAGGTTACAAACAGCGTGTCCATATCGGTGCTGAAGCGTTGTGGGTCGCGGCTGCCAATAGCCAGGACACCAGGTTGATTGTCCAGAGCCAATGGCAGCAGTACGGCGCTGCCGCTTTCATCGTGATTTGACGCGGGAAAAAGTTGCGTCAGTTCGGTGCGTCGCAGCGTTGTACACGTCGCGCTTTCGCCGTTGAAAAAACCGTTAAAAGGATACTCGTCGCGGTGGTTCTGAATGTGATCCAGCGAGAAAGCGCGGTCGCGCACGTGGCAACAGACAAAGTCAGCATCAAAGTCGACCAGTACATAGGTGGCCAGCACTTCGTTCAATTCCTGCAGTGAAGCCGTATCCAGTAACGCCAGCGTCAACGACCGCGTTTTGGCAAACAGGCCGTCATTTTCCCGTGCAGCATCTAACAACTCGTTCATTCGGCGGCGCATTTCCATGTTACGCTCACGCATGATAGTAACCTGATGTTCAACAAGAGAAATGGCCTTGCCGGATGCATGGGGCAGATTGAGCTCAGTCAGCAGGCCGGGATGACGGATGAAAAAATCGGGATGTGCGCGCAGATAGTCGATCAGATCCTGTTCGGCAGGCATATCTTCAGGTAGCTCGTCAGCTTGCATTGTCGTCCCCTATTGATCCAGCTGTAGCTCGCCGCGGTAAACGTAGCTTGCATCGCCAGACATTGTAACCGGGCTGTCTGTATCCGGCCATTTGATTCGAAGCTTGCCGCCGGGCAAAGATACTTTAACGCGTTCGCTAACCTTATCGTGCAGTCGTGCGGCAACAACAGCGCCACAAGCACCACTGCCACAGGCTTGAGTTTCCCCTGCGCCGCGTTCGAATACCCGCAGACGTATGAACTGGCGATCAACCACCTGACAGAATCCTACATTGGCACCTTCCGGAAATGCAGGGTGGCTGGTGAGCAGTCCGCCAATTTCGTCAATGTCGAGACTGAAGATGTCGTCACAGAACAGCACCGCGTGAGGGTTACCCATAGATACCGGTGTCACCTTGAAGCTCTGTTCACCCGCTTGCAGGGTGAAAACTGACGGATTGTCGGTTGTATCGCTGTGTTCGGGTGCAAAAGGTATGTCCGCATGATTGAGTACAGGTACCGTCATGGTGGTTTCAATCTGGGTGGGAGAACTGAAGTCCGTTGTAAATAATCCAGCTGCGGACTGCCACACCAGTTTCTGCTTGGCACTTAATCCGAGTTGTTGTACCAGCATCGCCACACATCTGGTGCCGTTACCACATTGTTGTGCACTGCTGCCGTCAGCATTGAATATTCTGTAGCTGAAATCTGCTTTCGGTGTTGATGGGGCCTCAATGATCAGTAACTGGTCAAAGCCGACGCCGCGATGGCGGTCGCCCCAGGCTGCAATGGCTTGATTGCTGAGATCGATGGATTGGGAAACAGCATCAATCACCATGAAATCATTGCCCAGGCTGTGCATCTTGTGGAACACAAGCGGACGCCGGCGGGGGTTCACAGCACGTTCCTGGCGGCGTCCAGGCCAGACTCCAGGCGCAGCTGATCGGTGATGGTTTCGCGTCGGCGGATCAACTCGAATGTTTCCCCGTCGACCATGATCTCGCAGGCGCGACCGCGGCTGTTGTAGTTAGATGCCTGCACCATGCCGTAGGCACCGGCGGACGCAACAGCCAGCACACTGGCGGCCTCCAGGCCAAGTGATCGATCCTTGGCAATAAAGTCACCCGACTCGCAAACCGGGCCGACAATATCCCACTGGCGGGGTTGTAATGTCCGGTTCGGATTGACCACCAGCACATCGTGCCAGGCCTGGTACAAGGCCGGGCGAATCAAGTCGTTCATGGCCGCATCGACGACTGCAAAGTTTGGTGCGTCAGGCTCGCTGGCTTCTTTCAGATATTCGATACGAGTCAGCAGGACGCCCGCGTTGGCGACAATAGAGCGCCCAGGCTCAAGGATAATGGTCTGCCCTCGCCCGCCCAGAATTTGCCTGACGCTTGCCCCATAGGTTTCCAGATCCAGGGGGGATTCGTCCTGGTAAACAATGCCCATGCCGCCACCTAGATCAATATGTTCCAGCTCAATCCCCATTGATGCCAGCTCATCTACCAGTCGCAACATGTTGGTGAACGCATCCAGCAGCGGTTCAATATCGGTAATCTGCGAGCCGATGTGACAGTCGATGCCGACAATCTTGAGCTGCGGATTTTCCGCTGCGGTTTGATACATGGCCAGCGCCTGTTCGGGCTGCACGCCAAACTTATTCTGTTTCAGGCCGGTGGAAATATAGGGGTGTGTCTGAGCATCCACGTTCGGATTGACACGAATAGAGATAGGCGCAACCTGGCCGCTGATTTCGGCGCGTTCTGCAATACGATGCAGCTCCGCTTCACTTTCAATATTGAAACATTCAATGCCTACTTTCAGCGCAAAGTCTATCTCTTCGATGGACTTCCCGACCCCTGAAAATATGACGGTGCTCGGGTCGCCGCCAGCGGCAATGACCCTGCTGAGTTCACCACCGGAAACGATATCAAAACCCGCGCCCAGCTCGCTGCACAGCTTCAGAATTGCAAGATTAGAGTTTGCTTTAACGGCGTAGTGCAGATTGAAAGCAACCCCTGCAAAAGCCTCATTGAGTGCTTCGATGGCATCAGTGATATGCGCCTTGGAATAGACGTATGCGGGTGTTCCGACGGCGTCTGCCAGACCGAGCAGATCGACACGCTCCAACCATAGATGACCGTCTACTTCCGACAGGTAAGGGGAGTGCGTGCCGGTCATTGTTCTGTCTGGATCAGCGGTGTTGTCATGCTTGTGGCAACCTGCATAACGGTTGGGCTGGTATCGCGCTCAGGCAACTGCAGCGGTCCTTTCTGTCCACAGGTTGCGGTCCACATCACCAGGACCAGTAGAGTTGTCCAGCGCCACGTTGTCATGGGGTCTTACTGCTGCGTTGTTAAAACCGGCGAGTATAACTCGATCCTGCGGCCGGTCACCAAACATGTTTATGCGCTGTTGGTGACCTGTTTATCCCGGAGGTGCTTGTCCCTGCTTGAGTGACTAAAGCCTCTGGCGTGCTCGATTTACCGCCTGACGAACCTGGTTTGGTGCAGTGCCGCCAAAGTGGTCTCTGGCAGCCACGGACCCTGACAGGCTCAACACCTGGTAAACATCTTCGGTGATCACATCACCACCTCCACCATTCAGTTCTTCCAGGCTCAGGGCTTCCAGCGGCATGCCTTTGGCCACTGCCTGGGCAACCGCTTTGCCCACAATCTCGTGGGCGTCGCGGAACGGCACATCTTTACGTACCAGGTAGTCGGCCAGATCTGTGGCTGTGGTGTAGCCTTTTAAGGTGGCTTCACGCATGGCTTCAACATTCGGTTCGATGTGCGGCACCATGCCATTCAGCGCGGTAAGGCATCCGTGCAGGGTGTCCACCGTATCAAACAGCGGCTCTTTGTCTTCCTGGTTATCTTTGTTATAGGCCAGCGGCTGGCTTTTCATGAGTGTCAGCAGGGAGATTAGATGGCCGTTGACGCGTCCGGTTTTACCGCGAATCAGCTCCGGTACATCGGGATTTTTTTTCTGCGGCATGATGCTAGAGCCAGTACAGAAACGGTCCGGCAGGTTTACAAAACCGAATTGTTGCGACGACCACAGCACCAGTTCTTCGCACCAGCGCGACAGGTGTGTCATGGTCAAGGCAGCAACGGCGCAGAATTCGATGGCAAAGTCGCGGTCGCTGACCGCATCCAGTGAGTTTTCACAGACACTGTCAAAGCTGAGCGCCTGGGCGACAAATTCCCGGTCAGGTTTGTAGGGCGTGCCGGCAAGCGCTGCGGCACCCAGCGGCAAAATGTTTATCCGTTTGCGGGCATCCGCAAGACGCTCCCGATCACGCAGCAGCATTTCGAACCAGGCCATCAAATGATGACCAAAGGTAATTGGCTGTGCAGCCTGCAGATGCGTAAAGCCCGGCATGATGGTGTCTGCATGTTGTTCGGCAAGATCTGCCAGCGCGCTGAGCAATGCGGTTTCCAGCTGCATTAGCTCATCGACTGCGTCACGCAGATACAGCCGAATATCCGTGGCAACCTGGTCGTTGCGCGAGCGTCCGGTATGCAGCTTTTTGCCCGTGTCACCAATGCGTTCGATCAGGCGGCTTTCGATGTTCATATGTACATCTTCAAGCGCTACCTGCCAATTGAATTCGCCGCCTTCTATTTCCCGCTGGATATCCTGCAGCCCGCCAATAATCTGGTCACATTCTGCATCGCTGAGAATGTCGATTTTGTTCAGCATGCGCGCGTGCGCAATGGAGCCGGCAATGTCCTGGGGGGACAGGCGCTGGTCGAAGCTGACAGAAGCGGTGAACGCTTCCACAAATTCATCCGTGGCTTCACTGAAGCGGCCACGCAATAAGCCCGCGGCGGATGGCTTCGGTGTATTATTCACACTCATCTTTGTTACACAGATTGGTTGGATGCCCGATTATAGCGGAAAGTTTCGAATGCGAGCGCGTTGCGTATGAGCGCACGCCCGATTCATTTCGATATTCCACATTTGTGTAATACCACCGCCATCACTCTGCTGGTGCTGTTCAGCCAGTTGCTGGTGATCATTTTGCTGTTTGCCGGTGATGAGTTGAGCTGGGGTCGCTTTGGCCTGATGTCGCTGTTTGTACAGTGGGTGGCGTTGGCCAGTGCGGGTATTTTATGTCTACTGCGCAGCACGATTGCGCGCATGAATATTGTCATGGGTTCCGGCCTGGCGTTTGTGCTGGTGATGACTGTAACGCTGTTTGTCAGTCTGGCCGCTGAATGGCTGGTGGGGCGTGGTCCCGACCCGCTCATGCGTATTTTCGGCCAGTTAATCATCGCGGGCATCATCACGGGTCTGGTGTTCCGCTATTTTTATGTGCAGCAGCGCCTGCGTATTCAGGAGCAGGCGGAATTGCAGTCGCGCATCCAGGCGCTGCAGTCACGAATACGTCCACACTTTCTGTTTAACAGCATGAACATCATTGCCAGCCTCATTGCCACGGACCCGGATACCGCGGAAAGTGTAGTGGAAGATCTGTCTGAGCTGTTTCGCGCCAGCCTGAACGATGCGGGTAATCAGGTCTCGATTGCCGAGGAACTGGATCTTTGTGAGCGGTATCTGCGAATCGAAGCCCTGCGTCTCGATGAGCGGCTGCATCTGCAGTGGGATGTGGCGCCGTTATTGCCCGGCACGCGTATACCTTTGCTGACCTTGCAGCCGCTGTTGGAAAATGCCATTTACCACGGCATTCAACCCCTGCCGGAAGGCGGTACGATAGAGCTGCAGCTGAGGTATGAAGATGACTACGTTGTGGTGAAGATTGTTAATCCGGTACCACCGCCTAACCAGGTGAGTGAATCCCAGGGTAATCGTATGGCGCTGCAGAATATCCGCAGTCGCCTGGCTGTGCTGTATGGAAACCAGGCGACACTGCATGCGGATACTCAGGGAGAGACATTTGTGACCGAGCTGCGCTTCCCCGCGGTGGCAACGTCGGTATAGCAGGACATTTTTAGCAGGACTTTTTTCAGGACTGGGCGATGCGCATTCTTATTGTTGATGATGAAACTCTTGCAAGAGATCGGCTCAAACGCATGTGTGAGGGTGATGATCTGCACGAAGTGGTTGGAGAAGCTGCAAACGGGGCGCAGGCAGTACAGTTGTGCAATGAGCTGCAACCGGAACTGGTGTTGCTCGATATCCGCATGCCAGGTATGGACGGACTTGAAACCGCGCGCCATTTCTTAGGTCTGGATGATCCACCGGCGGTAATTTTCTGCACCGCTTATGAGGAGCATGCTATTGCTGCTTTTGATCTTCAGGCAGTTGGCTATCTGCTCAAGCCGGTACGTAAAGATAAGTTGCTCGATGCTCTGGGTAAGGCTGTCCGCCTCAACCGCGCTCAGTTGTCCGCTCTGCAGAACGATAACCAGGCCCGCCGCTCGCATATCTCTGCGCGCACACATAAGGGCATTGAGCTGATCAACCTGGATTCTGTGCGTTACTTTCAAGCAGACCAGAAATACGTCACGGTGCGCTACAGCGAAGGCGAAGTTATTGTTGATGAGACTCTGCGCGAGCTGGAAACCGAGTTTTCTGACCTGTTTGTGCGGGTGCATCGCAATGCCCTGGTTGCCATGCAGCACGTGGAAGCGCTTGTTAAAGATGGCGATGGCCATGTGGCTGTAAGATTGCAGGGTTTGGATGAGACCATAGCGATCAGTCGGCGACATCTACCCGGTGTCCGTAAAGTAATAAAAAGGTTGTAATGACAAAAAAAATCACCATCGCCACACGTGAAAGCAAGCTGGCACTATGGCAGGCGCACTTTGTGCGGGACCAATTGCTGGCTGCTCACGCTGACCTTGAAGTGGAGCTGTTGGGTATGACCACCAAAGGCGACCAGTGGCTGTCTGCGCCACTCAGCGAAGTTGGCGGTAAAGGCCTGTTTGTGAAAGAGCTGGAGCAGGCCATGCTGCAGGGGCGTGCAGATATAGCGGTGCATTCAGCAAAGGATCTGCCAGCACAGATGCCAGATGGGTTTGTCCTGCCGGTGCTGGCTTATCGCGCGGATGTTGAAGATGTCCTGGTTTCAAATTTTGGTGCATTGCAGGACTTACCCCAAGGTGCAAAAGTAGGCTCTTCGAGTTTGCGCCGCAAAACACAACTGTTGTCTATACGACCGGATCTTGACGTGCAGCCGGTGCGCGGCAACGTCGGTACGCGCCTGCAGAAACTCGAAGATGGCCACTATGATGCCATTGTGCTCGCGGCAGCTGGATTAGATCGCTTAGGCATTTCCCGCAGTAACTGGCATACCCTTGATGTTGCTATGTGCCTGCCTGCACCGGGCCAGGCTGCCCTGGGTATTGAGTGTCTGGATAATCCGGAGGTGCTCGCGCTGTTGGCAGCCCTTGAAGATCAGGATGTTGCGCGCTGTGTGACTGCGGAGCGTGGTATCAGCGCCGGGCTCGGTGCAGATTGCTCCCTGCCGGTCGCCGCTCTGGCAAAATCAGTAGACCGTGAAACACTTGAGCTGACTGCGCTGATTGGCAATGCAGATGGCAGTCGAATTTTACGCAGCCGCGTTCGCGGTGCAGACCCGGAAGTGATTGCGGCCACCGCGGTGGCCGAGTTGCGGGATCAGGGTGCAGATGACATTTTGCAGCAGTTGCAGCGCACACACTGACCGACTCTGTGCAAAAGGTTCTTATTACACGTAGTGAACCCGGCGCCAGTCAGCTGGCGCAACTTCTGCAGCAACACGGCTTTGAGGTGATCTGTGCGCCCCTGGTTAAAATTGTTGACGTGGCGCCAGCGAACATTCTCCAACTGGGCGCTGCACCTGCACCTGCACCTGCACCTGCACCTGCACCTGCACCTGCGGCGCTGGCCGCTGTACCCGTCACCGAGCCGGATGTGGTGATATTTTTGTCTGCCCATGCGAGCAGGCGTTTTGTTGAAGCAGGTTTATTAAGTCGAATCCAGGGCTCAAGCTGCCTTGCCGTGGGCGCTGCAACTGCGGCCGTTCTGCGCGCAAATGGGGTGATTGTGGACGTGCCCGAGCAGAATACGACAGAGGGTTTGCTCGAAATGTCGGTCATCAAACAACTTTCCGCGCAGAACTCTGTCTGGTTGATCGCCGGTGTCGGCGGCCGACCAACCCTGGCGGAAAGCCTCTACAATCTGTACCACTGCAGCGTCGTAAAATTTGAGTTGTATCAGCGTCTCAGCCTTGATTTACCCACCATCGACGTAGACGCTGTAGGTGCGGTCGTAGTTTCCTCCGAGGCGAGCCTTGAAGTGCTTGCCCAGCAGTGGCCTGGTTCAAAACAGGTGTTTCTGATTGTGCCGTCAGCGCGCCTTGCGGCGAGTGCCCGGGCGTTGGGTTTCAAGCAGGTGAGGGTGTCGCAGAATGCGTCACCCGAGGCAACGTTGGATATTTTGCAGCCGCTAAAGGCTGCAAAGCGTTTACAATAGGTCTTGTCGGGGTTGCTCGGCAAAACTTCAAAGACGGAAAGCAACAGAAAGTATGAATGAGCAAAAACCACCGGCTGATGATCCCGAGACATCTCCTGCTGATAATGACCACCTGGACGCTGCAGATGCAGAAATGCAGGATACACAGGACCAGTTACAGGATTCCCAGGCCGAGGCCGGCAGTGCGCCCGAATCATCGGCGACCTCGGCTGCCGAAGAAGATGCAGCGTCAGCAACAGAGGCTGAACCGGAACCGGAACCGGCTGGCGCGCCTGAGGCGGATACACCGCCGCCTCCACCTGCCAAGGCAAAAGGCCGATTCCTTGCTTTCCTGGCATTGTTGCTTGCATTGGCGGCAGCTGGCGGCGTGGGTTATCTGTATTACGAGTTGGTTTATCTCAAACCACTGGCGCAAATAGAACAGCTCGACAACAAGTTGGACAGCCGCTATTCAGGGCTGGAGAGTCAGTTGTCTCAGCGCATTGCGACGCTGCAGGCATCCACCGAAAGCGCCATTGAAACTGTTCGCGGGGAGCAGGCCGAGCGACTCGCCAGCAACGAAGATGCGGTGCTCGAATCTCTAAATGAAGCTCTGAATGCAGCACCGCCTTCGCAACGCGAGTGGAAACTCGCGGAAGCTGAGTATCTGTTGCGGGTAGCCAACCACCGGGTGCTGATGGAGCAGGATTCCAATGGTGCGTTGAGTTTGTTGCAGGCCGCGGATCAGATCATGGCGGAACTGGATGACTTTGCGTTGTATCAGGTGCGCGCCCGTCTGGCAGACGAGATCATTGCTTTGCGGCAGGTGCCACGTGACGATTTACAAGGCATCTATCTGCGCCTGGAGGCGATCAAGTCGCAAGTCGATGCTCTGCCTCTGCCCGAACCTGCCTATGTTGATGCGCGCCGCCAGGCAGCAGTGGAAGAGTCTATCTGGCAGACACTGGCGAATGAGCTTAAACAGTTTGTACGTATCCGACCTATTTCCGGCGAAGAGGCGCTGAAACCTCTGCTTGCCCCTGAAGAAGAACGTTATCTGGAGTTGAACTTGCGTTTGGCTCTGGAGCAGGCGCAACTGGCTACGCTGAAACGTCATCAGGATGTTTTCGAGCAGAGCTTGTTAAACGTGCGCAGCTGGTTGGTTGATCACGCAGATACAACCGATGAACGCACCACCGTTTTGCTCAGCCAGGTTGATGAGTTGCTGATAGTTGAGCTGGCGCGGCCGTTACCGGATATTTCCGGTTCTCTGAATGAACTGCTCTCTATCCGCCGGAGCGGTTCATGAAATTGTTTGTCTTTGCTGTGCTTGCCGCCATTGTGCTGGGTGGGCTGGTAGGCACGCTGCTGGTCCGGGACCCGGGGTACGTGTTAATTGCCTATGCGGACACCGCGCTGGAAACCAGTTTATGGGTCGCGGTGTTGCTGTTCATTGGCCTTTATATCGCCGTACGTCTGATCAGCGTGGTTATTTTCAAACTGACGCAGGGTCAGTCAAAAGTGTTGCGCTGGCGTTCAGGTCGTAAAGTCCGCGCCGCTCGATCACAAACTGTAAGAGGCCTGCTGGTAATGGCCGAAGGGCGCTGGGCTGACGCAAAGAAGCTGTTAGCAGGTGCTGCAGATGACGTTGAGACACCGTTGATCAACTATCTGAATGCCGCGCGTGCTGCGCACGAATTGGGTGAGTTGAACGAACGGGATGAGTTTCTCAAACGTGCGCACGAAACAACGCCAGGCGCTAAATTTGCGGTTTCATTGACCCAGGCTGAATTCAATATTCATGAAGGGCGTTACGAGCAGGCGCTGGCGGCCCTGTTGCTGTTGCGTAAACGGGCACCCAAACACGGTGCGGTTCTGGCGATGTTGGCACGCTGTTATGAAGCTCTGCCGGATTGGCAGGCGCTGACCCAGTTGATGCCTGATTTGAAAAAGAACAAAGCTTTGCCCGAGTCTGAACTGCATCGTATGGAGCAGGCGGCATGGCAAGCTAAGTTGTTAGCGGCTGACAGCAGCGCCGGATTATGGAAGAAGCTGCCTAAATACCTTCGCACTGAGACGCCTCTAATGTGCAAATGGGTTCGCCAACTGATGAAAGACAATAAGCCGGATGAAGCAGAGCAGGTCATCCGACAGGCACTGGGTCAGCAATGGGATGCTGAGCTCGCGCAGATATATGGCGAATTGCACAGCAGTGATCCAGCACGGCAGTTGGCCGTGGCACAAGGTTGGGCGAAGCAGCGGCCTGATGATGCCGAAGTGGCTTTGACGGTCGGTCGGCTGTGTTTGCAGAACGAAAAATTTGAACAGGCCAGAGAATACTTTGAACACAGTTTGCGCCTGGCGCCCGGCGATGCTGTGTACGGCGAGTTAGGGCGTTTGTGTGTGGCCATGGGAGATGAGCGTCGTGGTACAGAATATCTGTTGCTGTCGCTGAGTAATCTGTCAGACCTGCCTCAGCCAGCCGAGCCTATGTTGCGAAAAACAAACGTCTCTTAGGACGCCAGCCAACAACCTGCCTATGATCGAGGGGCGTACGCGTAAGCGTCCGCGTGAAGCTGCTGGGGGCTGAAGCCGGTTGCTTCTAACAGGTCGGTTACGGTGTAAACAAACCCCGGACTGCCTGCAATCAGCACATAGGCATTGATATATCTGTGTGCGTGCCGGGTCAACCAGACCATACCTTCGTTTTCAGGTGTGCGCCGGCTATCTATGCATATGTGCAGTTCTACGTTCTGCATAGCGCTTAAAAATTCTTGATCGTAGATGTCCTGGGGCTCGTCTGCACACCACAATATAACTGTGGCGCCCTCGGCATTTATAGCCGCACGGTGCTCAGCGCAGCTGAACGCTTGCGCGGCGCCACTACCACCAGCAATGATGAACAAATCCTCAAGGGGTTCGCCACTGCCTACTTCGCCCTGGGCGGGTGTAATGTGCAGCTGTTGGCCTTCCAGCAGAATGTTTAAAGTTTCGGCTTCGCTGGCACCTGTTACGGGTCGGTAATGTAATTCCAGCTCAGGCAGACGTCCTGGTGCTGATGCGATAGACATGGGTATTAACTGACCATCGGGCGCAACTATATTCAGGTATTGTCCTGACGTGAAACTGTATGGTTGGTCTATGTGCAACCGGATTCGGCGCACTGGATTGCCGCTGATGCCAATGATATCAGCGGCAATGGAAGCGTTTTGCAATGCCTTTCTCGCAGGTCTTTTAACGCCGCATGGAGTTGAAAAATTCTTCGTTGGTCTTGGTTTCTTTGAGCTTATCCATGAGGAACTCAATGGCGGCGACATCATCCATGTCATGCAGGAGTTTGCGTAAAATCCAGACACGTTGTAATTCTTCTTCACCCATCAGCAATTCTTCGCGTCGGGTTGCAGAGCGTCGGATATTGATGGCCGGATAAACGCGCTTCTCTGCAATTTTGCGTTCCAGGTGCAGTTCCATGTTACCGGTACCTTTGAACTCTTCGTAGATCACTTCATCCATCTTCGAGCCGGTATCAACCAGTGCAGTGGCGACAATCGTCAGGCTGCCCCCTTCTTCGATGTTACGTGCAGCGCCGAAGAATCTTTTCGGGCGTTCCAGGGCGTGGGCATCGACACCACCGGTCAGGACTTTGCCCGAACTGGGCACAATGGTGTTATAGGCGCGCGCAAGGCGGGTAATGGAATCCAGGAGAATGACCACGTCTTTCTGATGTTCGACCAGTCGTTTGGCTTTTTCGATGACCATCTCTGCCACTTGTACGTGACGCGATGGTGGTTCGTCGAAAGTTGAAGCCACAACTTCGCCGCGCACAGAACGCTGCATTTCGGTGACTTCTTCCGGGCGCTCATCGATCAATAGAACAATCAATACAGTTTCAGGATTGTTGTTAGTAATTGATTGGGCAATATTCTGTAGTACCAGCGTTTTACCTGCTTTTGGCGGCGATACGATCAGTGCACGTTGACCTTTACCGATAGGCGCTACGAGGTCGATGATCCGTGCGGTCAGGTCTTCGGTACTGCCGTTGCCACGCTCTAAGGTTAGGCGATCATCGGGGAACAGGGGTGTCAGGTTTTCAAAGAGGATTTTATGTTTTTTAGTGTTCGGTTCGCTGAAGTTGATTTCATCAACTTTCAACAATGCAAAATATCGCTCACCGTCTTTTGGTGGTCGAATTTTGCCTGCGATGCTGTCACCCGTACGCAGGTTAAAACGGCGCACCTGACTGGGAGAAACATAAATATCGTCCGGACCTGCCAGATAAGAACCTTCCGGAGAGCGTAAAAAGCCAAAACCATCCTGTAGAATTTCCAGCGTGCCTTCACCGTAAATATCTTCGCCGTTTTTGGATTGTTTGCGGACGATTGCCGCGATGACTTCCTGTTTGCGTGAGCGGCCAACGTTGTCGAGACCCATTTCCCGGGCCATTTCAACAAGTTCGCCAACAGGCTTGCTTTTAAGATCGGATAAGTTCATTGCCATGTGTAGTGCTCTACTCGATTTTGCGAGTTAGTTAAGTTCTTTATCTATTGTCAGTCGTGTCTTTGACCGTCTTTTTAATCGTTTCTTTTTTTAAAAAAATGACAGACAGGTCTGATAACGATTGGATAAAGAAGGGGGATGTGTCGCTTGGGGACCGCTTGTCTCGCGGGCTTTAATAAGCGAACAGCGTTAGTGTAGTGCTTTCGAGGCACGGGTCAAGGGTTTAATTACCCTAGAAATGTGATCGGTTCACAGTATTTTCAGGAGAGGAAATGGCGATTTCTGGTGAATGTTTTTGTGGCCAGGTGGCTTATGAGATATCTGGCAGCCTGCGTGATGCACGTTCGTGCCATTGTTCACGATGTCGTAAAGCATTCAGCTCGCAGGCTTCTGCTTATGCGTTAGTAGAAGCGGCTGAGTTCCGATGGGTCCGGGGTGCTGAGCAACTCACATCTTACGTCAGTAATGCTGGTTTTGGTTTGCAGTTTTGCAAACACTGCGGCTCGACGCTGTGTGGCACCTTTAATGGCCAGGTACACGGCGTTACGTTGGGGTGTATAAATGGCGATCCTCAAATTGAAATTGGCTATCATATTCACGTTGATTCGAAGGCTGTTTGGGAAGTGATGCCCGCTGATGTTACTCAGTTTGGCGGGCCGCCTGTTGAAGTGAGTGACTGAAGCATGGTTGAAGGTGAATGCAATTGTGGTGCCATTGCGTTTGAGGTTGATGCTGAGCTCAAGGATGTCTTCATCTGTCATTGCTCAATCTGTCGGCGCGCAACGGGTAGCAACGGCATAGCAGTAGTTGTCGTTGAGAGAGAACTCTTCTCCTGGGTCCGCGGTGAATATCAGGTTAATACGTGGAAAAAGCCCGCAGCTGACTGGCAAGCCTGTTTCTGCAAGATTTGCGGGTCGCCGGTACCCGGTATCAATGATGAAACGCGAATGTATATTCCTGCCGGATTAATAACGGCAGGTGGTGATGCGCTCGCTGTTGCGCATCATATATGGGTGGGTTCCAAGGCTCGCTGGGATACAATTGGTGATGACGGACAGTGCCATGAAACAGCGTATCAGGAATAGACCCTTTTGATGTGTAAGCGATTGCTTGTTACTACTTGTCTTATGGTGTTGGCAACAACCGCGCGTGGCACAAGCCTGCAAATCGAAGAAATCAGTTTTGTTAGTAGAGGGACCCTTCTATCCGGCTCTATCGTATTTCCGCTTGATCAAAAACTTCGTGCAGGTGTTGTTTTTGTCCATGGCTCAGGAAAACAAACGCGCAACATACGGTTGGCTGAGAAGTTCGCCGAGTTCGGAATTGCTGCACTGGTGTACGATAAACGCGGCGCTGGATTGTCTGGTGGAAACTATGAGGCTGCACAGCCAGTCAGTGAAAAGAACCTAACCTTGCTTGCTGATGATAGCCATGCCGCCCTGAATGCGCTTGCCGCTCATACCGCTTTAGAAGATATCCCCGTTGGCCTTTCCGGCATCAGCCAGGCGGGCTGGATTGTGCCGCTAGCGGCCGTGAAAAGCGAAGTTGTAGATTTTATTGTTCTGTGGAGCGCTCCGGTTTGTAAGGTGAGCGAGGAGGATGTTTTCAGCAGCTATACATCTGATCTGGATGACACAAAGGCCCCCAGTTATGCAGAGGCGCTCCGAGCAAGACGCACGCCTTATATTTGGCCTGACTTTCTCGGCGACGACACTGACCCCGCTGTCAGTTTGGCAAAACTAGATATTCCTGGGCTTTGGATATTTGGCGCTAAAGATGGCAGCGTCCCAACGGATCTGTCTATACGCAGACTTGAAGAGCTGCAACAAGCCGGACATCAGTATGAGTATGTGCTCTTTTCAGGCGTTGGCCACAACAATATGCGCGAAACTTTTGCTGTGGCAGCAGACTGGATAAAGAGAAGCCTCAACTAGGCGAAAGCGCTACAGACCCGAAGGCCATGCCCGTCTGGCAACTGTCATGCCTGACAGATAACCCAGATATGCTGTCACCATCCAGATAGCAATTGCGACGCCGCCATCGGTCCAGTAACTGAACCAGATCATCGCGGCGATGAAATTGCTAAGTTGATTCAGTAGTAAAGAAATGACAAGGCTCATCACACCGTTTTCAAACAGCGTGCTGAAACCCGGAAAGTTCGAAAATAAATCGATCAACTCATTCAATTCTATAACCAGGAAAGTCCAAAGGGCGGCACAGCCATAAAACCCCCCGCCAAACTGCATCCACTTTGTTTGTACCAGGTCTACAGGGAGCGCTCTATTCTGCTTCCGGTCTTTGTGTATCTTCTTGATGTTTTTTGCCACGGTTTTGCTGTCATGGCTGCGATCGAGCTCACCCCTGGCGTAGAGTTTGCTGAGTACAAACCAGCTGAGGCCCCCAACCGGTAGACCGAGTTTCAATGTGGCTTCAAGAATTTCCAGTATCAATCAGGTTCCCCTGGCGCCCAGGGTATGTCGGGAAACCCGGGCTGCCGTTCGAATTCGTCCATACAATGACGGAAAACCTTACCGCTTGCGAGCTGGTCCAACTGTGTGATCAGGGTCTTAAGTGAAGCGTCTTCATTTCGACAGCAACTGACGTAGCTTGTCAGCGTGTCCATGAGTGAATTCCTGCCTTGAATATTCAATTGCTGGGCAACTTGTTTGAAGTAGACAGCACCACCCCAGTACATGGTGGGATATTGGCCCATGGCGCGCAGTTTTGGTGCTGCCTCGGCAAACGGGAGATCGTCAAGTGCAAATCGATCCTGTGCCCGGCCAATACGCTTCTGATAGCGTTGCTGTGCATCTGCGCTTGTGAGCACACCCATCTGCATCATGACCTGATACTGCATATAACTGGCGAAGCCTTCAGCGAACCAGGCGTTCTTTCTGCCCAGGTAAGGGATCACAAGATGGCTGAGTTCGTGGGGTGCGGTCCAGTCCTGATCAAAGTCCTGTTGTGAAAAGCTCAGGTCAACGTAGAAATGTACACCCTGGGTTTCACCACGTTGAGTATGCGCCCATGGCACCGGTTCACGTGATCCATCGCGGCGATGAAAGAATATGTGCCGAGTGAAAGGAAGTTCACCAACGAGTTCTGTTAAAGCCGTGTCGGTGCGGATTATCCAGTTCTGCAGGCGCTGCTGCTCTGTGGGACTGAACGAGTCTTCCCAGTGAAATCTGAGGTTGGTGTTCTGGCTGTATGCGGGCAGGCTTATAAAGATGGCGCACAGGGCAAGACAGGTGTTAGAGAGGAAGCGATTGCCTGAAGGTGTCTGCATGGCCAGAGCATACCGTTTAAACGGTATGCTTTGCCTTACGCTGTCATTGCGGGCCGTATAACTGTCGGACCGTGCGCAATCCGCGGCCTAGATATTGCTGTCTAAGAACGCCTGCAATTGTGACTTTGACAGTGCGCCAACTTTAGTGGCTTCCACTTCACCGTTCTTGAACAACATCAGCGTGGGGATACCACGGATGCCGTACTTTGGTGGCGTGCCTTGATTAGCGTCTATATCAATTTTGCATACCTTTATGCGATCGCCATATTCGTCTGCAATTTCGTCCAGGATCGGGGCAATCATCTTGCAAGGGCCACACCATTCTGCCCAGTAGTCAACCAGAACGGGCTTGTCGGAGTTGATGACGTCTGTATCAAAGGCGTCGTCGCTTGTATGTACGATGCTGCTCATGTGAATGTCTCCAAGAATATTCAGGCGCGGAGTTTACCACCTTGCTGCGTTATCATGTACTACACATTCTCAGGTTAGGCATAAACCATTTGAACCGTGACGTAAGGCACGCCTGGGCTGCGTTGGATCTTGGCTCAAACAGTTTCCATTTGTTGATCGTGCAGCCCCACGGCGCCAGTTTTATTGTGCATGAGCGGCTCAAGGAAAAGGTCCAGTTGCTCGGTGGGTTTAAAGATAACTGTCTGGCTGAAGATGCTCAGCAGCGGGGGCTTGCCTGCCTGCGTAGATTTGCGCAGAGACTCGCTGCGATACCCGCAGAGCGCCTTGTGGTTAAAGGTACCTACGCGCTGCGGCAGGCGCAGAACACGCACAGCTTCCTGCAGGCAGCGCAGGAAATTTTGCGCGTACCCGTGCAGGTGATCAGCGGTGATTACGAAGCTCGCCTGATCTATGCTGCGGTCACCCACCATGCCAGCACTTCGAATGCGCCCCAGCTGGTGCTCGACATTGGTGGTGGCAGCACCGAGTTGTGCTTTGGTTTTGGTCCAGCGGTGGAAGCGGCGGCTTCTGTCGATATAGGTTGTGTTGCGTTCAAAGATCGTCATTTCAGTGAAGTTGATCAGGCGCAAGGTTTTGCTGCAGCAAAGCGCGCTGCAAAAAACGCATTGCTTCAACAGTTGGCGGACAGCCCAATATCCGCATCTCAGTTGCGCGCCGCGAGCGCCGGTGTGTTTGGCACCAGTGGCACGGTCGAGTCTATTCAAACCGTATCCGAGGCAAACGGCTGGTCGCGAGGTTGTATTACCCTTGAAGCGATGCAGCGCCTGGAGCGCGCTATTGTCGAAGATCGCTGGGTACTGGAAGCGGGCTTGCCGGGTCTGCCACCGGATCGCGCAGATATTTTTCCTGCCGGTGCGGCGATCCTGAGCGCGTGTTTTGAGGTGCTGGAAATCGAACAACTGACCTATGTTGATGTATCTTTGTTACAAGGCATTATTTGTGAGCAACTGGTGATCGATACACAGCGCGACGTGCGCGAAGATACCGTAGAGCAATTGCGTAAACGTTTTGCCATAGATGCAGAGCAGGCGCGCCGGGTGACAACAACAGCATTGAGTATCTACGACCAGTGCGCAGACTGGTGCGGGGGTGGTGAAGAGTATCGTGACCTGTTGCGTTGGGCGGCTAACCTGCATGAGATAGGTGTACACATCGCCGCGCGACATTATCACCGGCACGGGGCTTATGTGGTTAAACACACAGAATTGCCGGGCTTCAGCGAACACCAGCAAAGTGTGCTGGCTTTATTAATCCGTGGTCACCGACGCAGTATGCCGGGCTTAGCATTCCGCATTTTTGACACCGACGAAGCGCGTATTCTGTTGCGCCTGGTTGCACTGTTGCGTATTGCGGTGATTCTGGAACGCAGTCACAACGACGCGGATTCTCCCCAGCTGCGCTTCAGAGCAGCGGACAACCGGGTCGAATTGATTTTTGCACAGAGCTGGCTATCCAACCATCCACTGTCGATGCGTGAGTTGGAAGTCGAGAGCCAACAGCAGGCAGTGGTTAATCTGGAACTGGTGTTTGCCGACGCGCCAGCGGGTTAGCGCGCTAGTCCTTCAGTGCCTGGGCGACCTGTTTCGCGAAATAGGTTAATACCCCATCAGCACCTGCCCGTTTAAAACAGACCAGAGACTCCGTAATAACGGCAGGCGTCAGCCAGCCATTATTGATTGCTGCCATATGCATCGCGTATTCACCGCTCACCTGATAAGCAAAGGTTGGCACGGCGAAAGTGTCTTTCACCCGGCGAACAACATCAAGGTAAGGCATACCTGGTTTAACCATCACCATGTCGGCGCCTTCTTCAATATCCAGCGCGATTTCCTGCAGCGCCTCATCACCATTGGCAGGATCCATCTGATAGGTTTGTTTGGAACCGCTGCCCAGATTGCTGCTTGAACCCACGGCGTCGCGAAACGGGCCGTAATATGCGGAAGCATATTTCGCGGAGTAAGCCATGATTTTGGTGTTGATGTGCTCAATGTTATCCAGCGCGCTGCGGATAGCGCCGACGCGGCCGTCCATCATGTCTGACGGGGCGATAATGTCGGCGCCTGCTTCACTGCACACCATGGCTTGTTTGCACAATGCAGCAACGGTGATGTCGTTGGCAACGTAGTTATCGGCATCAACAATACCGTCCTGGCCATGGGTGGTATAAGGATCCAGCGCGGCATCGGTGATCACACCCAGTTCAGGTACCGCGGCTTTAATCGCTCTCACGGCGCTGGGTACCAGGCCTTCAGGATTGTAAGCTTCTGCGCCGTCAAGTGAGCGACGGCTTGGGTCCACGTTCGGGAACAGAGCGATGGCTGGAATGCCAAGTTCGGCGACTTTTTCCGCTTCTGCCGCAATCAGATCCACACTCAAACGCTCGATTCCCGGCATGGACGCGACATCTGTGCGCTGCTGGGTGCCTTCGATAATGAACATTGGATAGATCAGATCATTGCAGGTCAGTTCGTTTTCACGCACCAGGCGACGGATAAAGTCATCTGTGCGATTGCGGCGCAGCCGGGCGGAAGGAAATTGGCGCATGGCGACCTCTTAAAAATACCAGTGGGTGTTAAGTAAAGCGGTTAACAATGTCTTTGCGGCAGCGTTTTACAGCTTGCCGGAACAGCGTCTGATCATCGAACATCTTAGCGGTTAACAGCGCCCCGTATAAGGTAGATAACAATTGCCGTGCGTCCTGCGCTGCGCGCTTGGGCTTGCAGCCCGCTTCTTCAAAAACCGCAGTCAGCGCATTGTGCCAGTCGGCAAACTGCGTCGCGATGTTCTGGATCTGCTGTTCATCATCTGCGGATGCTGTGCGGTGGTGGCTGAATACGGCTAACAGACAGTCGGTGCTGCCGTTTCGAGTGTAGCTTGAAAAGCCTTTGATGAAATCTTCCAGCCGCTCGGCCGGCGCGTTAGAGCCGTGTAATTGACTGAACGCCTGTCGTTGCAGGTCCGCTATGGCGTGGCGGACCAGTACTGCGGACATTTCGGGCTTGCCGCCTGGAAAGTGATGATAAAGAGAGGCTTTGCTCAGGCCGGTTGCCTCAGCCAGGTGGTTCAGCGTTGCGCCATCATAGCCACGGGCGACAAACACTGAGCTTAACTGCTCAATCAGCGCGGCTTTACCTGCGGTTGAATAACTCATGGTCTGTATTTTCGGTCCTAACCTGGTCACCTTTTGGTTCAGGTGAGACTGTACTGGGTTTTTTTGCACTTTTGTGACGAAAACTGCGACCCTATGGACTTTTCAGGCATCTACTGAGTATGTCGGGATTTTCAGACATTCAAATACCGCCGGGGGTAGCGAAAGGGGTGTTGCGTGGTGATCGTAACGCGCTGGCGGATGCCTATCGCCTGCTCGCCCGTGCGGTGATGAATCTTGCCAGTCGAATCCTGCAGGATCGGGGCCTGGCTGAAGAAGTTGTGCAGGATACTTTCATCGATCTGGTCGAAAAAGCCGGACAGATTAAAGATGTCGACGCGATTCGGCCCTGGGTACGCAGAGTGGCGGTTAACCACTGCCTGATGCGTCTGCGTTCCCCCTGGCATGCCCGCCGTAGCGATGCCGACGCAGAAGAAATTTTTGCGTCCAGAGAGCCGGATAACTCGATGGAGTGGGCTGTTCAACTGCCCACCCTCGAACACGCGCTGGGTGCTTTGTCAGATGAGGCGCGCACGGTGGTGTGGCTGCACGATGTCGAAGGCTACACCCATAAAGAAATAGCTGAGTTGATGGGTAAGACGGCGAGTTTTTCGAAATCCCAGTTAGCGCGAGCTTACGAAAAGCTGCTGAACTGGCAGAAACAACTCAACAGTGAACAGGCGCAGTTAGAAGACACTGCGGTAAAACAGGAAATAGATGGTCAACATGCAAAAACGACCTTGGGAAATATCGGATCTCCTTGCACTTCGTGATGGTCAACCGCGCAGCGCAAATCTGCAGGTAGACGATCCGGAAGTCATCGAGCAACTCGAGCAGATTCGGGGGCTTGGCATTGCGCTGCAGTCTCTGCCGGACGTACCCGTTGATGACGAGATCTGGCTGCAGGCTATGCCTGCGCCTGTAAAGCGCAGTATATGGCTGCGTTATCCTATGGCTACCGCTGCCTCGGTGTTTTTTGCTTCAGTGGTTGGCATGTTTATGCTGTTTGGCGGGCCGGTTTCGGATATCGGAAACAACACAGGTCCGGTGCAGTACACCAGTTTAGATTCGATGGATAACAGCGGTGCTCAGTTGGCAGCGTTAATGCGCCAGTCGCGAGATTTAGAGCAACGTTTGTATGGCGTTAACCCACTGGCGCAAGCGGCGGATGGACCGCATGCCACCTACCAGGGTATGCCGGCGCCGACTGCGCTGGAGGAAACTTTGTTGTTTCGCCTTGCAGATGTTGACGGGCAGATTGCGCGTTTGTATGACGCGGCAGACATGGACAGTGCGCAGCGCCAGGGCCTGTGGATGAAACGCGTTGAATTGTTAGAAAGTTTGGTAGCAATCCGTAGCGGTGATGCGGCGCGATTGTTCGATAACGGCAGGAGTATGTAATGTTTCGAGTATGTATGGCTTTCCTGATGATGTTGCTTTTCAGTCCGGTAGCTTTGGCCGGTGATGAAGAGTTAGACAAAGAAATAGCCGAAGTCCAACGTAATCTGGATGAGTCAGCTCGGATGCTGGCTGAGTTATATCGTCAGCGGTATTCTGCTGGGGAAGGCAAAGACCGGGCGATGTTAGGGATTCTGCTGGGTGATGGCGCTGCTGACGGCGGCGTTGAGCTGTTTGGTGTGACCCCTGGCGGTGGTGCGGATCAGGCGGGCCTCGCTGCGGGTGACCTCATTGTAAAAATGGATGACCTGTCTATCAGTGAAGCTAAGAGTCCGATGCGTGCGCTCTCGAATTATATGAAACAGGTGTCTCCTGGGGATGAGGTGGAAGTAGTCTTTGACCGCAACGGAGAGCGTCAGACTGCAACCGTGACGACGCAGGCGCACTCCGCTCACATGATGACCATGGTGCAGGAAAAAATGGCAAAGCTGGGCGATGTGTTGCCCGTTGATCTTGATTCGCTGGTGCTGATGCCCGATGGTGCGGGACACAAAATGGTGTCCAAGACCATCATTTCCAGACAGTTGATGTCTGTGGATGGTGATCTGGCGAGCTATTTTGATGTTGATGCGGGTGTGCTGGTGGTAGAACCTGCGCCTGGTTCAGCACTGAAAGCGGGCGATATCCTGCTTGCAGTGAATAATGTTGACGTTACCGATCTGGATATGGCCTACAAGCTTCTCGGCGAAGTCGAAGATACAGCTGAAATTGAAGTGAAACGCCGCGGTAAAAACCGCACACTCGACGTCAGCGCGGATGAGCTGCTGGCATCGGCGAACACAACCCAGACGCGCGTAATCCGCATCAATGCACCGGATGAAAACGGTAAAGAAGTGGTTGTTAAGATTGAAGTGACGGACGACTAGCTTTTCTCCAGCAGGCCGGAAACAGAATTCTGCCATTAAATTCTGGCTAAAGAGGTACACTCATGTGCTAGCCAAGCGCAGGAGAGCGTTCTTGAGTCATTTTTTTGTTGTAGTTGCCTTGTTGGTTGCCTTAGGGTCCGCGCTAAATACCGAGGCTGCGCAAACGTCCGACAATGTCACCCGGGCTGCCCCAGATATCACCATCTACCACCTTGAAGGGCGACGTTCGGAACGGATCGTCTGGCTGATGGAAGAGCTAGGCATGCCTTATGAGCTGGTTTTCGAGAGAGGTGATCTCTCCGCTTCCATGGCAAACATCCGTGCGGTTAATCCCGATGTGCCGATGGCGCCAACAGTGCTCATCGGTGATCAGATTCTGGTCGAGTCTGGTGCGATTATTGAAGTTATTCTGAATCGATATGCGCCAGATAAGTTAACACCCGAACTGTTCTCCGCAGACTATGCCAATCACATGATGTGGATGCATTTTGCCGAAGGTAGTCTGGCTGCCCGGTTGTTCTCCGACTATCGGACCTGGTTGCGTAACCCACCTACGGAACGTTCGCGCATGGTCGATTCCGAAGCAACCGTTCAATACGCTGAAAACCACCTGGCTAAACACCCCTGGTTTGGTGGTGAACAGTTCTCTGCTGCTGACATCATGATGATGTTTCCTTTGAACGTGGCAACGGGACTGAATATCGTTGATGAAGCACAGTTCCCTAACGTCGCAGCCTGGAAAAAGAAAGCGGAAGCGCGATCCGCTTATCAGCGCATGTTAAAAGCAGCTCGACCCGATGGCATGATTGGGAATCTGCCCAGGCTGCCTGAACATGCACCATCCGGTCCGCGGTAACGCTCACTCAGTCAAGAAATAACGTTGCGTAAGACTTAAGCCGAAACCTGATCAAGTCTGGTGCTGGATTCGAGCCATTGCTCTTCGGTTTTCGCCAGCGATATACGGATTCTGCCGGCCTCAGCTAACAATTCGTCTAACTCGCTGGCTGGCAGGCTCTCGTATGCTTCCGGGTCGGCCAGCTTTGTTTCGATTGCTGTTAATGAGGTCTGCTCCCGCTGCATCTGCTTTTCCAGTTTGCGTACTTCGTCGCGCAGCTGTTTTAAAGACGCGCGCTGTTTTGCCCTGTCCTGCCGGGCACCTTTGCGGGAATCTGTGTTTGAGCTTTTGCCGTTGGTTACTTCATTCTTGCGCGCAGTGGTATAGTCCTTAAGGTCTCCGTGATAAACATTCAGGGTATGGTTGTCTATCACCCAGAAGTCATCAACGGTTTGATCAAGCATCGTTCTGTCGTGTGAAACAATGACCACAGCGCCTGCGTAGTCCTGCAGGGCCAGGGCCAGCGCGTCGCGCATGTCCAGATCCAGATGGTTGGTCGGCTCATCAAGAATAAGTATTGCAGGTTCATCCAGAGCGATAACAGCCAGCACCAGCCTCGCTTTCTCGCCACCTGACAGAGTGTGTATGGGGCGAGAAATCATGCTTGCGTCAAAGCCCCAGCGTCCGAGATAATCCCGGCACTGCTGTTCACGCCAATGTGGACGCACGTCCTGTAACATCGGCAGGGCTTTTGCTGTTTCGTCCAGGGTTTCAAGCTGGTGCTGTGCGAAGTAGCCGATGTCGCAATTCTGCCCGCGGGTAAGTTCGCCGGCGATGGGCTTTAAGTCACCAACAAGCGCTTTGAGTAACGTTGACTTACCGGCACCGTTGGGCCCCAGCACGCCAATGCGCGCGCCAGGCAGAATAGATTGACCAAGGTCTTCTAAAACCCGTGTTTCACCGTAACCCAGGCAGACATCGCGCAGAGAGAAAAGCGGGTTAGACACTTTGTCGGGGTTTTTGAAGGCGACGGTGTAAGGTGAGTCGAGTTGCACAACAGCGCTGGTCTGCAGACGCTCCAGTGCTTTTATACGGCTCTGGACCTGTTTGGCCTTGCTCGCTTTCGCGCGAAAGCGGTCAACAAATTTCTGGATATGCGCAGCCTGTGCTTCAACTTTTACCTGCACCGCGAGATCCTGGGCCATACGTTCGGCGCGCTGGTTTTCACAAGATGAATAGTTGCCGGTATAAAGCTGGCCGGAACGGTTGGTCAGATACAGGGTGTGGCTGGCGCATGCGTCCAGAAAGGCGCGATCGTGAGCGATCAGAAGAATAGTGCCTTCGAAGCGCATCAACCAGTTTTCGAGCCACATGATGGCTTCAAGGTCGAGGTGGTTGGTGGGCTCATCTAACAACAGCAGGTCGCAAGGTGTCATCAGTGCTTTGGCCAGATTCAGGCGGATCCGCCAACCACCGGAGAATTCACGATAAGGTTTGTTGCTGTCTTCGCTGCTGAAACCAAGGCCAGACATGATCTCCCCGGCCTTCGCGTGGGCTTCATAACCACCAAGGTCTTGAAAGTCGGCGTGCAGCTGAGCCAGTTTGTTGGGCTCCTGAGTGTGTGCAAGCGCTTCTTCAACTTTGCGTAGTTGCTGATGACCGTCAACGACATATTCCAGAGCGGGTCGATCGGTGACCTCGGCTTCCTGCTCCATGTGGCCGACAACCCACTGTGTGGGTACTTCCAGTTCCCCATCATCAATTTCCAGTTCGCCGAGGATCAGTTGAAACAAGGTCGATTTGCCAACGCCGTTGCGGCCTGCAATAGCAACCCGTTGGCCCGGATGCACAATGAAGTTCAGGTGCTCGAAAAGCACCTCCTGGCCGCGTCTGAATTGGAGATTATCTGCCCGTAACATGCTACTAACGTACAGTGATTGAGCGCGCCTGCGATATGCGGGCGCGTATTGCCTAAACGGGTATTATGCCTGGCTTATAGATTGGTTATCAGTTTTTCGCTCAGCGGCACGGGGTTGCAGCTTGGCACGAATGCTTGCCGCGGAACCCGGTTGTACCAGAGCCTGCTCGTCGATCCACTGCACAAGCTGTTTCCATGCCATAGCTTCTTTTCGTGCGGCCCGAACATCTCGCATGTCGACCACTCCCCGGCCTGCCTCTGCAGCATCGGTGTAGACGGGCGAATCTCGGAATTGCGCAACAACCGGAATGTCCAGACAGCCCAGAAAGTGCATGAGTTTGTCATGTGTCTCTGTATTTGGCTGGATACGGTTGGCAATAACCCCCACGGGGCGAGGTGCAGCCCGGTATAAGCGATGGGTTAACAGTTCGGTGATGAAACTGCCGCCGGCACGAATATCGATAGAAGACGGTAACATCGGCACCAGAATCAAATCGGATTGCCTCAACAGGCTTTCCAGGTCGCGCCCGCGCGCGTTGCTGTGGCCGTCAACAATCACGTACTGAGTGGCTTCAGGCAGACGATGATGGAAAGCCTGGGTTTCGTACATGCCCGCGCGTTCGTGCTTGGCAACCAATTGTACCGGCGGTAACTCGGGATCACGTAATTCGGCCCAGTGACTGCTGCTCGCTTGAGGATCGTTGTCGAGTAACGCAACGTTTTTGCCCTGACAGGCGTAGGCAACAGCCAGATTGGTAGCAATGGTGGTTTTACCGCAACCACCTTTGCCATTGATAACCAGAATGCGACGTACAGGTGAATTCATAATCGCCCACCGTTTGAAGATATCGCTTCTTGCAATACCTCAGTCCTTTATAACCAGACCCTAGTGCACCTTTTGGCGTGCGCCGTACACTACAATCCAGCCCCTTTTTCCGCAATTGCGGACATGCGCCAATGTAGACACCCCTGGGTGTTTGAAGCGCATAAAGAAGTAGCCGTTTCTTACAGCTTGCTTCCCCCAAATACAAAGTTCTGCCCGTTCAGCGTCCGCCATCGGCGCTTTTTTTATTTTTTGTGCTCTCCTGATGTTGATCAGGAGGCTGGTCCACTCTGCTTTTATTCTGTCTGCCTGGAATTTCCGCAGACTCAGCTGTGGATAACTATACCAGCGAAAATTTCAATTGCACTACTCACTTAGCGCAGCTTTGCAATGCATAGGTTGAGCTTGTTTTACTTTTTAGGAGCGCTGCAACTGCAGCAGGCGGCCGTCGCCGGACAGTGCCAGCAGGGTTGCCGAGTTTTCCCGAAAGGCGATTTCCAGAATGCTTGCTCCTGTAGGACGCATGGCGTGGCGTGTGCCCGGGTCCCAGGTCTGCAGTGCACGGCCAGACGCTACGTCGTACAAAACAATGCGCCGGTTGGCATACCCTACCGCGAGGAGATTTTCGTCCCTGGAAAAACATGCGGAGACCACGCCGTGATTGATGCCGTTATGCAGGGTGTGTTTGAGGGCGCCGCTGTTGTTGTCCCAGATAGCAACCAGGTCGCCCTGGGCTGCAGTGAAGGAATAGCTACCCTGCTGTGAAAGCGCCACTGCGCGTACAGGGTTATCGTGAATAAATGTATGTCGGGCTGTGCCATTGTTCAGGGTCCATAACACCGCCGTGTAGTCGTCGCTGCCAGTGAGGGCTAAGTCGCCACTGGTGGTGACGTCCACTGCGCCAACCAGGCCTTCGTGCAGCAAAGTGCTTTCGTAGGCACCGCTTACCGCATCAAACAACAGGGCGCTGTGATCTTTGAGACCCAGCAATACATGGCGGTTGTCATTCAGTACAGCGACGTCCATGACCGCACCAGGCGTCGCCCAGTAGTTCAATGCCTGGCCGCTGCTGGTATCCCACAGCACAAGTGTGCGTGGGTCCGTTGTTACAGCCCTTGAACCGTCGGGAGAAAATCCGGCAGCAACCAGTTCAGCAAACTCGCCACTGGCGTGAGACCAGTTAAACAGACGCTCTTTGTCGCTGGTGCGCCACATGCTGGCACCGTGATTCAGGGAACCTACTACGGCCAGTTGGCCGTTTCGTGAGATGGCTCCGGTGTAAAAACCCTGAGTCGCTAATTCCCAGCTACCGCTGGGTTTATCATTGTTGCTACAGGCAGACAGTACCAACAGCCCCAACGTGACGAGTGTTAGCCGAGTCATAACATCAAGCCGCAACGGAGGTGATAACCTCATCTTCAATCTCGAAGCGTACCTCCAATGCGAAGGCTAAGGCTTCCAGATCGGCTTTAATTTTTATCAGTGAAATGGGCTTTGACGTGGTGTATCTGTCGCTGAAACGCAGCGCAAGCTGGGTGGATTTATCGATCGCGGCGAGATGATGTACTTCGGGTGTGCAGACATCCAGAAAGCCAAAATGGCCATAAGAGATATAGTCGACCAGTAATTCGTTGAATCTTTGAGCCAGTGCCTGGACCAGATCGTCGTGCATCGCATCGATACATTTGTTGAGCTTCAGCAGGTAGCTCAGCAGTGCAGAACGGCTGCGTCCTAATTGTTGTGCGATGTCCCGCTCTTTCGTCGGGGCGGTTGTGGTGGCTGTTGCGGACATATCTTTCCCTCGCCTGATGGACCTTCAATGGTCTAGGAAAGATAGCAGTGATCTGCAATTGCGCCAGTTTATTGGCGCGTCATAGATCTAGCGGAAACCGGCTCGCAACTGAGCGAAACACATTGCAAAAAGTGCGACGAAGCCAGCCAGTACCCAACCGGGAATCGATATGCCCAGCAATGACCAGCTTACCGTGGCGCAATCACCGGTTCCGGAAGTCATGGCGACCAGCACGTCGGATAGTGGAAAAGCTTCTAACATGTATTGCAAGTCGGGGCCACAAGCGGGTACCTGGTCAGCGGGCAAGCTCTGCAACCACAGCTGACGAATGGAGAAACCGCCACCGACCAGACACGCTAACATGCCAGTTAACGGATAGATGCCAAGGCGTGGATTGTGTAACAGGCTTGCGTAGATTATCAGGCCAACAATGGCTATCCATAAGCGCTGCATCATGCACAGCGGGCAAGGCGCCAGGCCCATGACGT